CCTATTGCTTATAGTATCTAAGAATTAAAATTAACCAGGAAAACTGAACATTGACCAATAAACCATATAAATGAGGTCAATGTCAGATGATAAATGTACACCTTTGCAATGATTCTGTGCACCAAATGTAGTTGACCTATTGCTTATAGTATCTCAGAAACAGACTTAAACAGGAAAACAAAACATTAACTAATGAACCATGAAAAAGAAGTAAAGGACAGATGATACCTGTCAGACAGACAATTACACCTTAAAATCATTCCTTACACCAAATAAAGTTGACCTACGTATTAAAGTATTTGAAAAACAAACGAAAACACACAAAAACTTAACATTGCCCAATAAACCATAATAAAATGCTCCGCAGGGCGCAGCTTGATACGACCGCAGAGGTCGAACCCTGAACAGTTGGGGCAAGTATGGACACAACATTCAAGCTTGATACAGCTTTGCATTTGGATTGTGATTAAATATTTGACACAGCATAGGTTTCTGACACAGAATGAATGTGGTCTAAGAACTTAAAAATTTTAAATTGGACATTCACCTATTATGGTCCAATATCCAAAATCTAAATACATAGTTAGATTCAGCATATCAAAGAACCCCAAGAATTCAATTTTTGATGAAATCAAACAAAGTTTAATTTTGGACCCTTTTGACCTCAATGTGGACAAAGTTGATAATGGGGCCCAAAAATCAAAAATCTAAATACATGGTTAGATTCAGCATATCAAAGAACCCCATATATTCAATTTTTGTTGAAATCAAACAAAGTTTAATTTTGGACCCCAATTTGGACCAACTTGAAAACTGGGCCCATAATCAAAAATCTAAATACATGTTTAGATTCAGCATATCAAAGAACCCTAAGAATTCAATTTTTGTTAAAATCAAACTAAGTTTAATTTTGGACCTTTGGACCTTAATGTAGACCAATTTGAAAACGGAACCAAAAATCAAGAATCTAAATACACGGTTAGATTCGGCATATCAAAGAACCCCAATAATTCAATTTTTGATGAAATCAAACAAAGTTTAATTTTGGACCCTTTGGACCTTAATGTAGACCAATTTGAAAACGGAACCAAAAATCAAGAATCTAAATACACGGTTAGATTCGGCATATCAAAGAACCCCAATAATTCAATTTTTGATGAAATCAAACAAAGTTTAATTTTGGACCCTTTGGACCTCAATGTGGACAAATTTAAAAACGGGGCCCAAAATCCAAAAACTAAATACACGGTTAGATTCAGCATATTAAAGAACCCCATTGAAATTGGTCAAGAAATAAGCAATTTATATGAAGTATCTTCTTTTGCACAATACTGTGCAATTAAATATTTCTTGCTATTGCGCAATATTGTACAATTGACTATTTCTTGCTATTGCGCAATATTGTGCTATTGGGTATTTCTTGCTATTGCGCAATACTGTGCAATTGAAGATTTCTTGCTATTGCGCAATACTGTGCAATTGAAGATTTCTTGCTATTGTGCAATACTGTGCAATTGAAAATTTCTTGCTATTGCACAATACTTATTATATAATAATTTACACATCCTACTTGGTGTGTATCTCCTACCATATCATTATTATTTGCTTTTAAATATAAATCAGAAATAACCAACTTAAAATGGAAAATTTTAAAAGAAAAAAAAAAGGAAAAAAAAAAAATCCCCCCCCCCCCAAATTTTTTGAACCCCCTTATGATTCATCACCCCCAAACTCAATCCCAGCCTTCCCTTTGTGGTATGGTACCTTGCAGTACAATTTCAGAGAGATCCATACACTTGAACACAAGTTATTGATTGGAAACTAGAAAAATGTGTTTTTTGGCCCCTTTTTGGCCCCAAATTCCTAAACGTTTAGGGCAATTACCCCCAACCTCAAACCCAGCTTTCCCTTTGTGATATGGAGCCTTGTAGTACAATTTCAGAAAGATCCATACACTTACACACAAGTTATTGTCCTGAAACTAGAAAAATGCTTGTTTTTGGCCCCTAATTCCTAAAATATTGAGGCAATTACCCCCATCATCAATCCCAGCCTTCCCTTTGTGGTATGGTACCTTGCAGTACAATTTCAGAGAGATCCATACACTTGAACACAAGTTATTGTCTGGAAACTAGAAAAATGCTTATTTTGGGCCCCTTTTTGGCCCCCAATTCCTAAACGTTTCGGCAATTACCCCCAAACTCAATTCCAGCTTTCCCTTTGTGATATGGAACCTTGTAGTACAATTTCAGAAAGATCCATACACTTACACACAAGTTATTGCCATGAAACTAGAAAAATGCTTGTTTTTTCCCCTTTTGTGGCCCCTAATTCCTAAAATTTGGAGGCAATTACCCCCAAAATCAATCCCAGCATTCCTTTTGTGATATGGAACCTTGTGGTACAATGTCGGAGAGATCCATACACTAACACACAAGTTATGTCTGGAAGTTACAAAAATGCTTATTTTTGGCCCCTAATTCCTTTACTGTTGGTACCATAACCCCCAAAATCAATCCCAACCTTCCTTTTGTGGTATTGAACCATGTGGTAAAATTTCATAGAGATCCATTCACTTAAACTAAAGTTAGAGTGCGAAAACCAATGTGTGTTCGGACGACGCCAGACGACGACGTCGTCGTTATTGGGTATTTCTTGCTATTGCGCAATACTGTGCAATTGAAGATTTCTTGCTATTGCGCAATACTGTGCAATTGAAGATTTCTTGCTATTGTGCAATACTGTGCAATTGAAAATTTCTTGCTATTGCACAATACTTATTATATAATAATTTACACATCCTGCTTGGTGTGTATCTCCTACCATATCATTATTATTTGCTTTTAAATATAAATCAGAAATAACCAACTTAAAATGGAAATTTTTAAAAGAAAAAAAAAAGGAAAAAAAGAAAAAAAAGGAAAAAAAAAAATCCCCCCCCCCAAATTTTTTGAACCCCCTTATGATTCATCACCCCCAAACGCAATCCCAGCCTTCCCTTTGTGGTATGGTACCTTGCAGTACAATTTCAGAGAGATCCATACACTTGAACACAAGTTATTGATTGGAAACTAGAAAAATGTGTTTTTTGGCCCCTTTTTGGCCCCAAATTCCTAAACGTTTAGGGCAATTACCCCCAAACTCAAACCCAGCTTTCCCTTTGTGATATGGAGCCTTGTAGTACAATTTCAGAAAGATCCATACACTTACACACAAGTTATTGTCCTGAAACTAGAAAAATGCTTGTTTTTGGCCCCTTTTTGGCCCCTAATTCCTAAAATATTGAGGCAATTACCCCCATCATCAATCCCAGCCTTCCCTTTGTGGTATGGTACCTTGCAGTACAATTTCAGAGAGATCCATACACTTGAACACAAGTTATTGTCTGGAAACTAGAAAAATGCTTATTTTGGGCCCCTTATTGGCCCCCAATTCCTAAACGTTTCGGCAATTACCCCCAAACTCAATTCCAGCTTTCCCTTTGTGATATGGAACCTTGTAGTACAATTTCAGAAAGATCCATACACTTACACACAAGTTATTGCCATGAAACTAGAAAAATGCTTGTTTTTTGCCCCTTTTGTGGCCCCTAATTCCTAAAATTTAGAGGCAATTACCCCCAAAATCAATCCCAGCATTCCTTTTGTGATATGGAACCTTGTGGTACAATGTCAGAGAGATCCATACACTAACACACAAGTTATGTCTGGAAGTTACAAAAATGCTTATTTTTGGCCCCTAATTCCTTTACTGTTGGTACCATAACCCCCAAAATCAATCCCAACCTTCCTTTTGTGGTATTGAACCATGTGGTAAAATTTCATAGAGATCCATTCACTTAAACTAAAGTTAGAGTGCGAAAAACCAATGTGTCTTCGGACGACGCCGGACGACACCAGATGACGTCGACGACGACGACGACGCCAACGTCATACCAATATACGACCACAAAAATTTTTTTGCGGTCGTATAAAAATGAGGTCACTGCCGGATGAAACCTGCTGTACTGACATGTACAACTTACAATCATTGCATATCCTACATGCAGTTGACAATCAAGTTATTTTAACATTGATCACCAGACCTGTTTACCCCATTTAAGCTAGTAATGTAGTTCATACATTTAGAAAGTGTGGTTTTCAATATTTTGGTTTAGTTTTATAGAAGGCGGTATTGCTGTATGAATTCAGTCTTCACAATAAACTTTTAAATCTACATGCCAGGGGGGGACTTGTGTTTGATAAGCTTTTACAAGTCCCCACAAATTACTATCACCGATGAGCTGCGCAATGCGGCACATACTTGCTAGGAGGGTCTGGGGGCATGACCCCCCCCCCCCCCCCCCCCCCGAACATTTTTGAAAAATTTGATGCAAAACCTTGCATTCTGAGAGCTTTGAGAGTCATGTTTTGAAGATACCAAATATATAAATTTGATAGGATTACAATAGGATTAGTAATATATGTTTTCTTCATAAATTTTATTAATGCATTCTCTTGTAAATTCAAAGATACAACCACAGTCTGTCTTTGGTCCAAATATCGAAAAATTTACGTTCTCTGACCCAATAGAAATTACCTATTTAGGCATAGAGCGTAATTTAAGTGCCAAAAATCGTAGAAACTACATTAAAATCGTAGTGGTAAACAAGTCTGGATCTCTTATCCATGAAATGAGGTCGAGGTCAGATGAACTCTGTCAACATGTAGACCTTGAACGGAACTAATATACCAAATATAGTTATCATATTACTCATAATAAATTCACATGATAAAAAAAAAACGATTTTTTTAAAGCAGACACTAAACCATGAAAATGAGGTCAAGGACTATGAAAATATGACAGACTTTGTAACATCAGGCATCTGAATATAAAGTATGAAGCATCCAGGTCTCAAACCCTTTGAAATATCAAGTTTTATACAAATAGTTTATGCAGATGTTGGATTGTAATTCTTCTGTCTCACATTCTGCAATTTTGAAACAAAAAAGAAATCTAGACCAACTCACTATTCTTTATTGCAGGAAACATTTTTTGGGGCCTTATTGCAATAGCTCACATCAGCTTTCAGGCATTAAAATATATACAGTTAGGTTAATGCTGTACACTAAAAATATTATAAACACCATTGAAGTAATTGCATCAAAGATATTCACTTTTAAAAACAAGTACTTGTTATCACAATAGTTTTTAAAGAATTAACAGGTAGGATGACAAAGATGCAATATTTTGAGTAAAATTGGCCTTTTAAGATGTTTAAGCTTTACATGATGTATCTTCTAATCACTAACATAGGGAATGCTACATTATTTTCTCAAAAACAAGATCTTATTTCATATCAACTAAGTGTTCTTTTTTTTCTCTTCTGTCTCCTTTTAAGATAAGCCAGCAATATCTGAAAGTTCTTTTACTTCTTCTTCGGAAACAGATTCCTGGTTAATGTCATTGTCTATCACTTTAAACAGTCCTTGAACTTCTTTTTGTGATGATGTTGATGTCTTCTTTGTGTGCAACTTACCTTCAATAAAGAAATATAAAACAAATTAAATAATCTTCAGGTATAAAATATATTGCACACAATGTTACAAACTAGAGGCTCTTAAAGAGGCTGTGACTCTCACCTTGAATTGTGCATCTTCAATATTGGTCACTCAGCAATATTGTAGACTAGAATATAATTCATGGATTAAATATCTTTTTGGTTGGTTGTGTTCTGCAGATCATTTTAACAGATATAATTAAGTCAAATGACCAAAAATGACAATTGATTTTTTGGAGTTATTGCTCTTTAATAATGATTTCTATCCAAGATCACAATTTCCTTTCTCTCACAAAAACATTCACATCTACTTACACCTCCATAAATTAAATGTACCTCTACTAGGTGGTTATCACAATATCAAATCCTATGAAATAATCTGTAGATCTCAATTTTTTTTATTATAAAATTTACTGATCAATGTTTCCCTCTACCAAGTTCAAGAGAATATCCAAAAACATCAGATGTTCATACAAATCATTATTATAGAGCAATAACTCCAATGAACAGTCAATTGTCAGTTTTGGTCATGTGAATCAACAATATCAATTAAAATGATCGGCAGAACCCTACTAACCAAAAAGAGATTTAAGCCGAGAAATACTGTAAATTCAGAAATTATTGCGAGGTTTTTTTCAATGCTAATAATGCGACTTGATTAGTATCGCAATAATAAGAACTCGCATTCTGATATCTGATACATAAAACTGTATGCATATTTTCCTAAAATCACAATTATTTATCTTACATTATAGTCAATTCTTCAAAAATTCGTAAGGGTTCCGCGGAACCCAGTGTCTCGCCTACTTTTGCTGTTAATCGCAGGCTCAACAAAAATGAGGAAAAAAATTAATAAAAATATTCCTCTCTATACTATCTTTTGATTGTAAGTAGCTTCTGTCCAAGTTTGGTAAAAATCCAGGATAGTTTATCAATCTAATAAATGTTTTAAAAACTTAAAGTGCAGACTGTATGTAATGTTAACTGGAAGAAAAACTAAGTCCATTTACAAGTAAAATACGGAAAAAATGGAATTTATTTTTTACTTTTTTACAAAATTTACTTCTGGATACTATCTTTTGATCATAAACAAGGTTCTTTCCAAGTTTGGTAGAAATCCAGGATAGTTTAAGAAAGTTATTAAAATTTCAAAAACTTTAACCACAGAGTGAATGTAATGTTTCATGGCATAAAAACTAAGTCCATTTATAAGTAAAATACAGAAAAAATGGATTTTTTTTTTTACAAAATTTACTTCTGGATACTATCTTTTGATCATAAACAAGCTTCTTTCCAAGTTTGGTAGAAATCCAGGATAGTTTAAGAAAGTTATTAAAATTTCAAAAACTTTAACCACAGAGTGAATGTAATGTTTCTTGGCAGAAAAACTAAGTCCATTTATAAGTAAAATACGGAAAAAATGGAATTTTTTTTTTTACAAAATTTACTTTTGAATATTATCTTATGATCATAAACAAGCTTCTGTCCAAGTTTGGTAGAAATCCAGGATAGTTTAAGAAAGTTATTAAAATTTCAAAAACTTTAACCACAGAGTGAATGTTATGTTTCTTGGCAGAAAAACTAAGTCCATTTATAAGTAAAATACGGAAAAATTGGAATTTTTTTTTTACAAAATTTACTTTTGAATATTATCTTATGATCATAAACAAGCTTCTGTCCAAGTTTGGTAGAAATCCAGGATAGTTTAAGAAAGTTATTAAAATTTCAAAAACTTTAACCACAGAGTGAATGTTATGTTTCTTGGCAGAAAAACTAAGTCCATTTATAAGTAAAATACGGAAAAATTGGAATTTTTTTTTTACAAAATTTACTTTTGAATATTATCTTATGATCATAAACAAGCTTCTGTCCAAGTTTGGTAGAAATCCAGGATAGTTTAAGAAAGTTATTAAAATTTCAAAAACTTTAACCACAGAGTGAATATTTGTGGACGCCGCCGACGACGACGGAATGTAGGATCGCTATGTCTCGCTTTTTCGACAAAAGTCGAAGGCTCGACAAAAATCGAAATAATAAATGCAAGAATAATTTCAAAGTTTACAGTATATTCTAGTCTAACGGACGATGGCGAATGGATGCCAAGTGATGAAAATAGCTCACTTGGCCATTTGGGCCAGGTGACCTAAAAATTGTAAAAAGTCCAATAACTCCTGTAAAAATGGTTGTATAAAGAATGGCTGAACAATATGGTCAACTCCACATGGTGGAGAAAACAATCCTACTATGTATGAGATCTTTCTCAACAAAAACCCAATTCTCACTCCTTGAAAAAACTATCATCTCATAAAGCTTCATGAAGAGAGTTATTAATAACAGCCTTATCAATTATATAAGATGTGAATGGTTATCAGTCAGGGGACTTATTTAAATGAGTGATTTTTAAATCACTGATACAAGTAACATTTTGTCCACAAATGTTGGAAATAAGAGTTGCCTTTCTTTAATAAACACCTATTTAAGTAGTACAAATAAATCACTAGACTAAGTGATTTAATTTTATTGTAGCTTTAAATATACAATACTAATGATCCAGGGACTAAACTTGTTGTTCAAATTATCAAAACCAACATCTGTGTTGATAGAATGACCGGTCATGTCAGGTGAGGACCTTGTACTTTATCTGGGATAATGACATGAAATCACTTGTTTAAGTATCATACCTCTCTTTTCTTCCAAAAAATCTCTTCAAGTATTATTATCTTAATTACCCCCACTAATTTCAACACCCCCGAACAGTGAAATTTTGATCGAGAACAGTAAAATTTTATTACATAATCTGTAAGATAAAATCTTGAATTTTAAAGGAAAATTACTCCCAAAATCTGTTGAGAAAGTATCAGTTCATTATGTAAAGCCTTCATTATAGCATTTTTTCAACAAATATAGAATTTACAGCTAAATGATTGCATCAAAGGCATAAACCTTGCTATTTAAAAGAAGAAAAAGGTTCATTTTTTCCAATTTCACTTATAATAAGATATAATCAAAACCCATATGTTTAAAATATTGGTATAACTACAAAATCACAATTTGTGACAAAATTTCGAATTTGCTACTTAAATCAGTGATTTTTTAATCTCTTATTTCAGTAATTCCCCGGACTGGTTATGTTGAAAATGACATACAAGGATAATACCAGACGAAGTTAGGATAGAACTTATTGGGCTATAGCTATATATCAGCGTTAGTCCAGACTCTAGGCCTTGCTTTCATAAAAATTTCGATATAGTCAGAATTCAACCAATTAAAACACTGGATTATGTGTTTCGAGCACAAATTGTGTACTCAAGAGAACTGAGTTAAGTTTAATGACAGAAAGGTGGGAATAAGAAGGCTGGTCAGAAAATGTCTACCCCTGCAATGAATCTCTGGACTTCAGATTATAGCTAGCTAATAAACATAAAATGAACAATCGTCAATATTCTCACATTATTGAACCAACCTTTATCAATACTGTCTGCATTCTGATGAGTCCACTTTTCTATCAAATCTGATCTGTCCAACATAATCCTCAAATCATTATCACTGATACCAGATCTCTCATCTTTCCCTTTCATTTCCATCTGATGATCTCGACTCTTCAGCAAATCCTGTAATTCATGTGGAGTAAGAGGTCGGAACTCAGTACTAAAATCTTTTATACCAGTCTTGAACTTTCCTGAAATTTGTCAAAAAAAGACCAGTTGAACTTTATATCAACTTCATCTTGGATGAAAGATGTTTCTGAGGTAATGAAATTGCCTTCATTTCCTGTCACATCAATGATTACACCCCTCCCTCAATCTTAACCATTTTAAAGATATTTTAGCATTATCAAATGGCAGGGGTTTGGGATGGCCGTTGGGGACTCAATCTATATACTATATATTTACACATTCAAAAATGCAGGGGGTGTGGATAACAGCTGGGCACTTGCCCTATATTTAATTCAATTCATATGAACATTCTAAAATGGCAGAGGGTGGGGACTCACAAAGTATATCATTCAAATCATGATTACATGACAAAACAAGAAAATATATGGTTTAGGGTTGGGATCTCAACTAATTACAAGATATCTGAACATTCTTGAATAAGATGGGATGAGGATGACCGTCTGTAAATAATTACAATAATCTGCCTAATAAGCATAACTTTGTCTCACATTCAATGACATTTAGTGCAGGCATGACAAAATTATTGAAATCTGGTCCTTTTTACTCAAAATTATTTCATTCCTTAAATCCAGTCTCTTTCAGCCAAAAAAAAACACAGAGTTCCACACAAAATATTTGACAAATAACTGAAATATGACAATCATGTAAGATACCAGGGTTCAACACTGACAGAAATTATGTTGGTTAAGGTTTCTATTTCTATTAACCTTAAGAAACAGATCTTTTACAAGTGTCAAACTCTGATTGTATCAATTATCAGTGTTGTTCATGTAGAAATCAACTGATTTTGTTTTTAACAAACCTTTGTGAATAACCATCTTTTCTAACTTCCTTTTAGCCGCAGCTCTTTCCACAATTCTCTGATCAATAGTGTTAGCAGTAACAAATCTATACACAACAACAGGTTCAGTTTGTCCTATTCTGTGACATCTGTCCTGGGCCTGAAGATCACACTGTGGATTCTAGAAATACAAAAATTGTGTTAAATCTATATGACAGCTTCAGCATGATCTTAATAAACATCAAGATTAGAATTTTATTGAAAGTTCATCAAAAAATGAATGCGATTGTTATATAATTCTGACAAATTTAATAAAGAGCTGCGCCATGAGCACATGATAAGCCCGTCGCTTTTTCAAAGAATAAAGTTCCACAACTCCTCAATGTCATATCAGAAATTTATAAAAAACTAAAGGGAGGTTATTCATGTTTTATGAAAACTACTCAAAACAGTTTTGAGTTATTGTCCAAAAATTGAAAAATCACCCCTTTTTTATGAATAAAATCCCATAACTCAGAAACGTAAAATCTAAAAATTTTAAAATCCAAATAGAGCTTACGTCAATAGATATCAACAATTCACCAAAGTTTCATGAAAACAGCTTGAAGCATTTTTGAGTTATTGTTAGAAAACTGGAAAATCCCCCTTTTTTAATGAATAAAACCCCATAACTAGGAAACGTAAAATCTAAAATTTTTAAAAATATAAAGGGAGCTCACATCAATAGATATAAACAATTCACCAAAGTTTCTTGTAAATTGGTGAAATTGTTTTTGAGTTGTTGTCTGAAAACTGGAAAATCCCCCATTTTTAATGAATAAAACCGCACAACTCGGAAACGTAAAATCTAAAATTTATAATAAACTGTTAACACAGAGATATGTCTCGCCTATTTGTTATTTTGATAATGCAAATGTTGAAATCAAAATAGCAATACTTTTACATATAAGTTAAGCAAATATTCAAAGTCAATGAACCATGATTAAAGGTACAGGGCTAAACAATCTCCATGGAAATGAGATGTGCCAATGCTAATACAACTGCATACCAAATACCATTGACTTTTCATAAGTCGTTCCCTTTAAACAAACCTAAACTTGTAAACTATGTAAAAGTTTATTGCGAATCCAATGATACTTTTCCACAGATTCACCTGCAAGTTACCTGTCGATTTAAACTTTTGTAAGTTCTTTTGTCCCATCTAATAAATACAATAGCTATTGTTCTCTGTGTAGTTTATTTGATGGGACCTTTAAATTTCTTCCAAGAGAAATCTATCACTCACTGATTAATTTACCTGAACAAAAAATTGAACTGTCAAAAATGAATATTCATGTACAAATACTAAATAAGGACTAAAAAAAAATGCTTGTGGTGTTGTATTTATTCAATATCAATAATTCATTTTTAATAGTTTCAATATAAACACTGAAACAATTTTTTTATATTTTCCCTATTAAAATTTGCTTTCTTTTTGTGTGTTTGACAAATAAAAACTTGAAAATTATTGTGTTTAAATTAAGGTCTTGATAAATGTATTCTATTAACTGAACAACAACAAAAACATGCAAATTCATTGGAACAATACTAAAAATTTTGTTAGAAATAAACTTTTTATAATTAAATCAGTGTTTATATTGAACAGATTGAAAATATATTATTGATATTGATTAAATACAATATTGCATGCAGTTTATGCGAGTTTATACAACTATTTCCCCAAAAAAAGAAGATAATTTTTTGGTCAGGTAAATTAATCAATGAGTGATAGATTTCTCCTAGAAGAAATTTAAAGGTTCCAGTGAAAAACTACACAGAGAACAATAGCAATTGTATTTATTCAATAGGACAAGAGAATAGACAAAAGTTTAAATACCCTGGTCAAGAGCAGACGACTCTGTGGAAGACTTTCATTTGGTTCGCAATAAAAGTCAAAGAACCACTATGAGGGGGTTGGGTTATATAATCTCCATGGAAATGAAACTTAACATTAGTGGTTCATCTTAAACTAACATAATCACAAACTAATACATGTAAACTAAGCAAATAACATTAGTGGTTCATCTTAAACTGACCTAATCACAAACTAATACATGTAAACTAAGCAAAAGTTTCAAAGTCAATAGACCATGACTGAGGGGTAAGGACCAAATATTCTCCATGGAAATGAGATATGCCAATGCTTTTACAACTGCATACAAATTATCATTAACCTTCAACAAACAGTTCCACTTAAACTGACCTAATCACAAACTAATACATGAAAACTAAGCAAAAGTTTCAAAGTTAATAGACCATGACTGAAGGGGCAGGGCCAAATAATCTCCATGGAAATGAGATATTCCAATGCTTATACAACTGCATACCAAATATCCTTGACCTACCACTAGTGGTTCCCCATCAACTGACCTAATCACAAACTAATACATGTATGTAAACTATGCAAGGTTTCAAAGTCAATAAACCATGACTGAGAGGGTGAGGCCAAATAATCTCCATGGTAATGAGATGTGCCAATGCTAATACAACTGCATACCAAATATCATTGACCTACCACTAGTGGTTCACGATAAACTAGACCTTATCACAAACTAACATTGTTGATGCCGCAGGAAACAGCATACCTATGTCTCGCTTTTTGACTCCGTCAAGGTGAGACAAAAATCGAAAGGGAGCTCACGTCAATAGATATAAACAATTCACCAAAGTTTCATGCAAACTGGTTGAAGCACTTTGAGTTATTGTCCGACATGTTGACCACTGACGGACAAAGGTATACCATAATACGTCCCGTAAACAGGCATATAAAAATTCAGGAATAAATGTTAAAATGTGATTTCCTGTTAGGTTTGAAAGCTAACTATGTGTAACAGTCTGAACCAAAATCTTTTCCAACTACTAGTCCGAAGACCAATATTCAGACATTTTTCTTATGTGTCTAAACAAAGTTTTGCAAATACTTACTAGTCAGAATAAAGTTTTACTAGTCTGGGGAATCGGACTAGTGGCTATTGGTGCAGACTGGTGTAACAATTTTCATAATTTTTGCCATTAAATACAGCAAAACAAATCTTTCAAAGTTACTATCCAAGTATTTTCAGATCTTAGTTGATGCAAATATATTATGGGTCCAAGAGCAATAACTCCAATATATATTTGTTTTATTCTTTTAAACTTATTCATAAATATCCTACATGTACAAGAAAATAGGTGTGAGTTTGCTTCGATGCAGTTTTTCATTTAAAAAAAAAATGTGTTAAAGTCATCACTCCTGCAATAATACTTGATCAGCCTGGATTATCTGATCCCAGATCTTGCTGAAATAAAACTTCGATAGAAATTTCATAAAATTATTACAATAAACGTAGCCATGATAGAGCTTGCAATGCAATTTTCCATAGAATTTACATTTCCAAGGAACATAATTCCTGTAAAAATAATTGATTAGCAATAATTTCGACATTGTCTGAGACACTGATTATATAAACCTATTAAGCTAAATTCAATGCATTACTATTTAACTCCATTATCCAATTCATTCAGACCACAAGCATGATGAGGAAAAGAAATAAAATCTTATCATTTGTTATAAAGAAAGCTCCAAAAAATAATTAAATAACCTTAAGTGAGCATGCTCACTTACCAAAAATCCCCAATATAAAGGGTAAAAGCTTATAGTAACATGATGCCATATTTTTTTCTGTTTACTTTAAGGTATGTTTCTTTTCTGTTATGATTTAAGACAGTAATATTGTCTTGCACATATCAATTTTAGTAAATGTTACCTTGACCTTAGACATAGTAACCTAAAAATTAATCTTACTCTCTTTTTAAGTGAAAAAAAAACATCCAATTAGGGTTGCAATCCACTTATCTTCAGTTACATGTAAAATTTGACGGTCACCTCAACACCCATAGAGATCTTTTTCTCTCATTATATGAGACCATATCTCTTAAGTTAAGTTGAAATCTGATAAAATGTATTCAATTGAGCTTCTGGTAACATGGGGTATAATAATAAGGTAAAATGCTGGCAACTTATCGCATGAAAAGCATCATTTCCCCTGTAATTTCCCTATTAGGTCTTCTTCCTGTTTGGCTGCCAGGTACAAGTCAATGGTACCTAAAATTCTGATCTATAGTGACCCCTTCTTTAGCTGTTACTCATACAACACTTGATCTTAATAATCAAAAATTGTTTATCAATTTATTAATACAGCATATTTCATTTGATTATCATGTTTATGTAGTACAAATTAGCAGAAATTTCTTTTAGAATCTATTAGTTATAATGTCTTACCCAATCACTGTCATAGAGGATAACTGTATCAGCTGCCGTCAGATTAATTCCAAGCCCTCCTGCTCTAGTACTCAAAAGGAATATAAACATCTCTTTGTCTGAACTAAATGCATCCATCTAAAACATTTAGACAATGAAGGTAAATCAGGGTAATCCTTACTCTAAGAATGGTCAAAATGTTTTCAACTCAAAACTCAAATAGACCGGTTGCGAAGAATGTTTCCTAAATAATGGAAAATATGGAAAAGTCCATTATGGAAGGTGCTGCACCTCAATAGGTTATTTAGTAAACTTTCTATGAAAATCCGAAGATCAAGAGTTATAAAATTGGTAATTCAACTGTAGGAGGAGTTGATAACTCAAAATGAATACCATTTTACCGGCAAGTTAATTTTGCTGAAAGTTCCCAGGTCTGGAAAAAAACTCTTTAAACAATTTCATAAAAACAGGTGCACAACTTCAACAAGAGTACAATATTTTAGTAAAATTTCTGATATCTGGGTTTAAAACTTAACGAGTTGATTACACAAAACTGGTACCATTTGGCAGGAATTGTACATGTGTGAGCGCTTACAAGACCAGACAGACAGACGACCAGTATTTCTAGGTCCCAATTATCATATCAAGATATTTATAAAAAAAAAAATAAATGAAAAAATAAATGAAAGAATTTTATTTTTTTTAGTTATTGCCCTTGGACAGATAATGGAAAGACTGACTGATGGACACTGATCTCAAGTCCTAAATATTGATAGCATAGAAAATGATATTAATATTAAAATAGAATACCTGTTCTTTTCTTTCATCCAGAGAGTATCCTCCATCCAAACGACAGTAAGAGTATTTCCTCAGATAACAATAATCAGTTAGGATATCTAACATCTTAGTCATCTGGGAAAATATAAGTACCTGAAATCAAAAATACATAGATAAAAGCTCTCTTGTTTGGAACCTTTAGGATGTTCGCTACTCTGTTTCAAAATAATAACCTTTTTAAAAGACTGTTATAAATTGATAGTATATAAATAAAGGAACTAAAAAAGCAGATAAAAATGAAGGGTCCGTGTACTTGTTTTCGAGATATAAGCCAATGAAATTTTGGCGGGAAATGATTCTCTCTAGATTTTTCATACATTTAACATTGGCACCTTTTTTCTGTCAAAAAGTATGAAAAAACAACAAGAATTTCATAAGATTTTCAAAGATGGTATTTAAACTATATGGTATCAAATTATGAAAAGAAAAGAAGGGGTTAGTGGGCAAAAATTTGTAATGGCACTTCATGGATAAAACCAGAAGATTCCAAATATCTGACAAAAATTCAAAAACAAGAGGAGCAAACATCCTTAAGTCAGGGAGTGTTTGAAAAGTGGTATTGACATTAACTGCTGTCACATGTCACTTATGAATTATTTCACATTTTACTTTTTGAGGGCCAAATAGATTCCCTAACAGTATAAGCTTCTGATCTTGGTTGAAAGCTATACAGTAACCATTTATCTTGGAGACCAAGAGAGTGAACAAATTCTTATTGAAAGTTTTAGGTAGGGAACCTTATACTGAACATAAAGAAAAGTCATCAAATACAATTTCAATATTTGGAATTTCTGCCCTTTTTTGAGTCCATTGTTCTCTGAAATTATAAGTGCTTTCTTGCAATTCTGTTGTAACCAGAAGGGACTATACACTCTTTCTAATTTCTCTTGTCAACATAATGCAGTTACATCGTGCTGCCATACATAATCCATAATCAAAATCACAAAAATCAACCTACCGCGGATTCTTTTTTATACATGGAATACTAACTTTCGTGGATTTCATGGGCACAATTATAAGTAATCCATGAATTAAAATGTTCAATGAAGTATAAATTTGCTAATGGCTTGCATGCACAGACTTTGGCAAAACCACTAAAATATAAAATTTCAACCTAAGAAGGACCAACCCAGCTGTTAAATAAGGTCAGTTTTAGATCATCAATACTGACCATAACGCCAACAAAATCAAACTGGATTAGAAATTTCATATGCATAATTGCCTGTAATGTAAAAGAATATCTTACTTTATGTCCGGCTTTTTTTAAGTGGTTAAGCATTCTATCTAATAACACCATTTTTCCACAGGAAGACACAAGGTCTTCATCAATTTTAAATTGTTCATCTGCCGTTAAAGGATACTCAAGGAGGTATGGATGATTGCAACACTTTCTCAACTGCATCATGATGTTCTGCAAACGTACTGTCACCTGAGATGTTTTGGGTGTTGTAATTGTGTTTCTGCAAAAAAAAAAGTTTCTCATATACTTATCAAAATCACTTTAAAAAGTTCCAATGTGCATATCATCATATACTTGCAGCAACATGAGCAAGTTGACTTAAAGAGTCACAGGTATGCAAGACAGCAATATTCTAGAAACTTGAAGGCTAGGTTTGTAACTGTTAGGTGTTCATTAAGCAAATAACCAAAGGTTGGTGGTTCTCTCCAAGCACTTTGGCTTCCTCCATCAATAAAAATAAAAATAAAAAAGCACAATAGTGCTGAAAGTGGAGTTAAACATCAACAATCAAACAATCATTAAGAAATAGGTATCTAAATACATAATCAAGAGGTGGAGCACGATCTGCTTACCCTTCCAACGCACCCGAGATCATCCCAATCTTTTGCTGGGGTTAGCGTTGCTAAATCTTTAGTTTTCTATGTACTTTTTGTGAACTTGCTTTGCTTACGTTGTCTATTGTTTTTTCGCCATGGCGTCTGTCAGTTTCACTGGGCTTATGAGTTTTAATTGTCCGCTTTATATCTTCCGCCTCTTTTTTTAATTAGTTGCACTAAAATTATAAAATTTCAGAGTTAACGTGAAAAATGTGTGTAGTAATTTTGGATATTCATGTCTTGAAAGGTAACACAGGCTAGCAGTTCATCATGCTTTAATTAACTGATTCATCTTAATCTACACTGTCAAAGACACTGGGTTAGTCATGCATCTATACAGAATCAATTACAATATCCAATTATAGTTCAGTGACTGTCTAAATATAGTTCAGTACACTTTAAGCACTAATCAATAAGGTCACTATGAAACAGACCTCAACACAGTACACTTGTACGCGAATAAGAATTTTTCCAGCTGACTAAATTGAGCTGTAACTGTGGCGGCCATATCTGATTGTCTTTTAGGTTATTTTTTGTACAAGTTTCTATTTTAAAGGATGGCGGCAAGCATGTGTGATGGCAACATGTAACCTCAATCATAATTCTGAAAGGGCACTGCAAATGTATCATTCAGCCCAAACTTGGTAACAATTAGCCATTTACACAATTTTTCAGATTTTATTCACTAAATTGCTTTTAATTCTTCTAATTTTACATTTTTAGTATAACATGGTGATGACCAGTTTTTATGAAAGTTTGGGTCATAAGCCATATTTCCGTAAAAATTATGTGATATTTTTCGGGATCATATATCTTTGATGGATTTTCACATAACATATTTTGGGACCAAATTAAGGTATCCCAGGTTTTATTCATCTTGTGATCTCAATAAATTTCATATCTAAAACTAAAATATGAACAAATTAACTTTGTAAAACTGTAAAAAGTCAGCAAAAACAGAAAAATAAATATCTATTTGTTTTAAAATGGTAACCCATAGTAACCTATCAGCAAATCATACTAAAACTTTTTCTTAAGATTGTTTCACATAATGATTCCTACTTTGCTGCAACAGACTCCTGAGAATCAATGATAGCCTGAACCCAACTTTCCAACTCCTCTTCATCTTTTTCTATATTTTTCTTCTTTTTCTTTGGTGTTTCATCTAAATCTTTTTCTGAAGCCATCATTAAATCATACTGAACTTTCTTCTTAGATTTCCTCACCAAACGTCCATTTTCATTTACTTCAGGTTTTACTACAGGTGTCTGAAAAATGGCAAATAAACCTGTCATATTAAAAAGTTAGCTATTTTTTTTCAGCCTTGCTGTATACAGGAATATATTTAAACATGAAATAATAAATTTAGTGAAGGGTATCTGGCGATAAAGATTTCAATATGATTTTCGGGCGATAAATGTGTTTTGATAGAAGTGTACGACAGATATTTGCAAAGGCATTGGAATTGTATTGTCTAAATAAATACGACATGATTCTTAAGTTCAACTTGAATGAACAATATAACCATGACTTATATCTTCCCTTGCATGGATTCTGGTTCATTAAGGGCAAAGAAAAGACGTGTGTCTTTGTTTATATATTTTTTTTAATTTTAAAACAGTCCTTGTTTCACTAAATTTGCAGTTGTGTGTTTTGACAATTAATACATGAGCCATGTCAAGTCAAAGAGAAAACCTTTGCATAAACAAATTAAATTATGGACTTAAATGGTGCCCTAAAAAGGGAAGCTTTTTGTTTATGAAAAGTGTTTGTTTATAGATTATTACATGGCATTTTCCATATTGGCCCTGGTATCAGCCCTAGACTCCCATATCAAGCCAGAGGGCTTGATATGGGTGGAGGGCTGATACCAGGGCCAATATAGATTATGACATTTAATAATCTATTTATCACATATTTTCAAGCTGTAGAAAAAAGAAAGCATATATCAAATTATGTTTAATATTTTCAACAAAAATTCAAAAAACCATTTGAAGAAAAAAAATTTTAAAAATGTTTTTGATTGACAGGTTACCGGAAGTCAAATTCGGGGGCATGATACAGGTTTTCGAGGACTGATATCGATATTGGCCCCGATGGCAAATAGCCAACCTTATAAATAGTTTTTGATTGACAGGTTACCAGAAGTCAAATTCAGGGGCACGATATGGGTTTTCAAAGGCTGATATCGATATTGGCCCCGAGGGCAAATAACCAACCTTGACTTCCGGCTATTATTGACCATGCAAAAACGTACATATTAGTACAAAATGTGTGATAATATCTTTTTATCTGTATAATGAGACTGTAACACAACCAACAGTAGGTCGTTTCGGAGAGGATTTTAAAAAAAAAATAACAAGTATATATCACAAGACAACAAGATATACTATTGATATTCCAGCTAGAAGTATTCAGAATACAGGATGACCAGGTAATCTGAGATAATTTTAGCTAATCTGAGCCAATGTCACTCTTTTAATTGGCATACAAAAATCTGATAAGAAACAATTTATTTTTCTATTATAGTCTAAATAAAATACATACATTCTTTTCTTCAATCATTTTCAGGACAGTTCTATTAACAGTCGCCTCATAAAACTCTGACTGGACTGCTGACAAAGGAGCATACACTAAAATTTCTTTCTTTGGTGGAATTTTCAAATCTACATCCTGCTTAAGTCTTCTTAACATAAATGGTGTTAAAATCTAGGAAAGGAAAAAATATGAAATTGTAGTCTCCAAAGAGCATGTATCTCATCTGGTTTCTTTACCTATTATTGACTTGTGGTAATGTAAAATTTTGAAAACTATGACGAGTCCTGACATGAATCGCTTTTAACTTCCTTTTCCTTGCAGTTCAGTAATTTTGTTATAACATTTTTTCCAACATAATTTATATAAGGGATCATAGATTCATTCTTACGAGGAAGCTCAGAGCATGCTCGGAGGATGCTCAGAGCTTTTTCAGTAGGCTCTTCTCTGCAGTTTATGTGAAAATAATTATCATGATCCATTAAGATGTCAATCAAATCTACACCACTTCTATAATAAGGAAAGTTGAGCATTATAGAGGAAGCTCAATTAACACCTGTGTAAACAACTGATCTATTCAAATACATTTTGCCTGAAATTTTACAAAACTATAGAATAGATTAGAAATTCTTCAACAGTACTGTGTAATGCTTGGAAAGAAATCTCAAGTCTCCACAAAAAGTGAAAGTCATTTAACAAAAAATATACAATTATTATATTTATTAATCATTTCTTTTTTTATAATAAAAAAGATTCTCAAATCTTATAATTAGATGATATGATTTAAATATAGTTTATATTATATAATATGCTACATAAAAGTTATCAAGACACAAACAACAGTCAGGGGGCGATACTAAACAAGTTATTTTTTTTAGTTACTTAATATATACTAATAGGTATTTTTTGTTTTTTTAAATTATTTGATATAAACTCAGTAGTTATTTTAAATGTCAAAAGTGGACTAAATGTAGTTTTTAAGAATTTTTTCATCATTTCATTAAGTAAAATTCAGTATTTATCCAACTTGAGATGAGTATAGAGAGATTACTTTAAAAATAATGAAAAAATATTACTTTTATAAATTATTTTATACATCTTCGAAAAACTAAGCATACTTACAATTATTTAAGGAACATATGTAATTGTTTTTGATAAAGATTTCAAATTATAAATAACTTCAAGTCTTAATTAAATCACAAAGTTCCATCCATTTATATTTGTTCATCTCTAAGATTTTAAAGGAAAATGTTATTTTAATAGCCCCAAGAGACCAATCTATGACCAAGAAGTGTGGCATCAGAAAGACAATTAGTGTTTCAGGAGGATTTAAATAGTTTTATACTGCATGGGGAAAATAACCAGATGTGAAAATTTGGTAAAGCTTGTAAAACCTGTATGAATGGACACCTATAGAAATAATATTAACAGAAGTTACTTATTCATGATATATAAGTAATATTTGAAACAACCTTGTTTTCAATATAACTTGTATAAGTAATTTTGAAAATTACTTGTTTAAGTAATGCCCCTAACTATTAAAACAATGATAATTTTTTTTTTTTTATAAAATAGCAAAGTTAGTTTTTTATAAAAAAAATTATGGCTACTCTAAGAAAAGTTGAGGAGGTAATACCACCATTGTTTTCCCTCTAGTACGTCTCACTTTAATTGTCATTTTTTTTATAATTATGCGGATTTGGTTTTATTTAAATAAAGAAATACTTGGCATAATTATATAAGTGAAGTTTTATCCTGACCTGTACTTGAATGAAAATCTAATAGAAAATTGTTTCCCCCTATCAGTCTTTGTTTAATTGGTATTTTTCAAAAAATATGTGCAGAATTTATCTATGTTTTAAATAAAGAAATACTTGACATGAGTAAAGTTTTTTCTTGTCCTGTACTATAGTAATAAAACAACATAATTTTTCAGTGCATATAAGAAAGAAGACATCACCAGAATTAACCAGCCAAATTCTATCCCCCTTTTTTTTTCTCTGTTTACAAGCTTTAGTAGCCATGTCCCCTAAAATTGCAAAAATATTTTATATAAAAAACTTTGCTATTTTATAAAAAAAAAAATACCATTGTTTAGTTAAGGGCATTACTTAAACTAGTAATTTTCAAAATTACCTATACAAGTTATATTGAAAACAAGGTTGTTTCAAATATTACTTATATATCATGAATAAGTAACTTCTGTTAATATTATTTCTATAGGTGTCCATTCATACAGGTTTTACAAGCTTTAACAAATTTTCAAATCTGGTTATTTTCCCCATGCAGTATAAAACTATTTAAATCCTCCTGAAACACTAATTGCCTTTCTGATGCCACACTTCTTGGTCATAGATTGGTCTCTTGGGGCTATTAAAATAAAATTTTCCTTCAAAATCTTAGAGATGAACAAATATAAATGGATGGAACCTTGTGATTTAATTAAGACTTGAAGTTATTTATAATTTGAAATATTTATCAAAAACAATTACATATGTTCCTTAAATAATTGTAAGTATGCTTAGTTTTTCGAAGATGTATAAGATAATAAATAAAAGTAATATTTTTGTCATTATTTTGAAAGTAATCTCTCTATACTCATCTCAAGTTGGATAAATACTTAATTTTACTTAATGAAATGATGAAAAAATTCTTAAAAACTACATTTAGTCCACTTTTGACATTTAAAATAACAATTGAGATTATATCAAATAATTTTAAAAAAAAAAAAATACCTATTAATATAAGTAACTAAAAAAAATAACTCGTTTAGTATCACGCCTGACTGTTGTTTGTGTCTTGATAACTTTTATGTAGCATATTATATAATATAAACCCTATTTAAATCATATCATCTAATTATAAAATTTGAGAATTTTTTTTATTATAAAAAAAGAAATGATTATTTTAAAAATATAATAATTGTATATTTTTTGTTAAATGACTTTCACTTTTTGTGGAGACTTGAGATTTCTTTCCAAGCATTACACAGTACTGTTGAAGAATTTCTAATCTATTCTATAGTTTTGTAAAATTTCAGGCAAAATGTATTTGAATAGATTAGATGTTTACACAGGTGTTAATTGAGCTTCCTCTATAATGCTCTACTTTCCTTATTATAGAAGTGGTGTAGATTTGATTGACATCTTAATGGATCATGATAATTATTTTCACATAAACTGCAGAGAAGAGCCTACTGAAAAAGCTCTGAGCATCCTCCGAGCATGCTCGGAGCTTCCTCGTAAGAATAAATCTATGATCCCTAATTAGAATCCAATAAAATAGTATCCTCTGCTTTCTTATCTTCTTTGCATGTTTATCATAGTTATTGCTTTTCTTTTCAAAGTTTGAATTTTATATTTTAACTATCCTGATTATTTGATCCTTAAAACATATTGATTGAGCTATATGTGATTTGTAGCTCCTTACTTGATGCAGCATTGATAGAATATTCTTCTGTTGTTCCTCTTTAACTATCATTTTGTCAGCATCTTCTCCACACATTCTTCCTACATCAAACCAATCTTCAAAACTGTAAACAAAGTTAACATTAGAGTAATTTTAGAGATTGTCCTGAACTTGTTTTATTCAAACTAGCAGCATTATTATTCACCTGTAAATGTAAAACAGTATAGCATGCTGACATTCAGTCATATAAAAAATTTCAGGAACCTCTGATTTGTAGTTTTTGAGAAAAATACGACGAAAACTTCAAACATGCCTACTATGTTTAGAATATATACCGTACTTGACGGAAAATAAAACGCACCCCTAAATAAGGCGCAGGGCCGTTTTTTAGGGGAAGAAGTGTTTTTGTCCCCACATAAAACGCACCTGAATATAAAGCGCACCCTGATGAAAACGTACATGCATTCTACTGACCTTAGCGTAATGAATGTTCACTCCTTCTTGTAACTCACTCCGTAACATGTTTCATTTTTATTTTCAGATTGTTGAGAAAGTTGAAAGACATTTTGTATATATTTATTTGTTTCATATTAAAATAAATAAATGTTAATAAAATTATTATTATTTTCTTATTGTTTTAATCATGCCAGATTCATTAGTTGTTTTTTGTCAACAATGGCCATGTGTTGACAGCTTGGGTGTCCATTGAACCTTGTTGTTTTGATTAAAATTAGTTCGGTGTTGATTGCTCATTTATTGTTTGAATTGGAATCAAGGATTTTAATTAATCTTGAAAAGGTATTCATTAAAGGTTACCCAAGCCATAAAACTGCCATTGTTTACCTTGATTATGACCTACTTACCTGTACCCACGTGTGAAAACTGTTCACCCATAAGTCAGGAAAAAAAATTATTAAATTAAACCTAAAGAATTTTATTGTTGTTTATAGAAAATAAAAGTTTAAGTTTTATAAGTTTAAGTTTTATAAGTAACAAACATTTTTCAATTTAAACTTGGTTGAAAACTAAGAACAAAACCATTCAGTTTCTGCAAGTCATTGTCTATTTTTAACTGAAAGTGAGATGGGCCACGGAAAGGGGAATTCAAATAAGACGGCGATTTATAAATGTCTTAGCATATTGAATTATGAAAATTAATATTCATTTTTTTTATTTCTTACACCAATATGTGGCTACAATATTTCATAAAGATATTTCATTTTGATACAATAAAACAACAAGCAGTTACTCCTCAATAGTATATCCTGTATGGTACCTCTTTTCAAACACGCTTATCTTTCTTTGTTTATGAAACACTTTAAAGGGTTCATTTCAGCACATGGTTATCACCATCGTCATTAAAAGAGACTTGAAATATTGGAAAGAAACACAATCACTTCCTTTATTATTTCTAAAGGAGATTTTATTTAAAAACACATTACAACAACAAACAGTTACATATTTATTGTAAATACACAATTAATATCCTGTATGGTACCTCTTTCAAACACGGTTATCTTTCTTTGTTTATGTAATAAACACATGGTTATCAACTTCGTAAGCCAACAATGAAATAAAGAACAAATGATAAAGTATATATGTTTTTATTCATAACAAAATATGCCACATGAACAATTTATCAAGTCACTGCAAGCACTTGACAATCTGACGGTCTCCATAAAAAAAAATCCAGATATATATTTTTTTCACGCTTGCCCTGAAACTGAAAAAAAATACATACATAAAGCGCACCTGAGTATAACACGCAGGGACAATGACAGAGAAAAAAACCTGCGGCTTATTTAACGAATTTAACGGTATTAAGTATTTGATAAACAGGAAGTTGATGAGAAATGAATCTGAATCTGTCACACAACATAGCATGCATGCTGACATGAAGCCATATACCATATAACAAATTTCAGGATGCTGATTTGTAGTACCAGAGAAAAATTTCATGGGACAGACAGAAGGACATACAGACAGACAGGGAGCTGGAGTGCATTTATAGATGGGTTTTTTTTATTTAATTTATTAGATTCTGGAGTGTAAGTGAACATTTCTAAATTACTTTTTTAAAATGATTGTTCAATGGGTTTTATCTTTATTTCAGTTTTATTTTCAGCTGTATGATTTCTTTATGAACTTATTTTGCATACACTTCAGATTTACACAGGAATATTAATGCAAACAATGAAGCTATTGTGTTAATAAAATATAGTTACCTGCTGGCAAACTCAATTTTTTATCCCTTGATTAATCCATTTTCACAAAATATAATAAAAAGATATCTGTTCAAACTAAACAACTTACTTAAACATTTCTTTCAAAGCATATAAAAACATATGTTGGAAAAGACAACACAAGGCCAAAATTAAAATTAAGTTTGTTTCCCCTTACCCGACCGACCCTCTAAAAATCCGCCGACTGAAATAATTTTTTTCGAAAATCACGTCGTTGTTTTTTTTTTTGTCTTTTCGCTCAAAAGTTCGTTTTTTAATTTCATTTCCTTGAATGGTCCGTATTTTCATCATTCCACGAAATCATTGTCACCCGTGTGTTTGCAGCAAAGGGTAAACAACGTAGGCAAGGATACTGAAATTGGAATGGAATAATGTTTTAAATAAATGCATACGAGCAATCGTAACTACTCTTCCATTCTAGCTACGCCTCCAATAACAAAATGCGTAGCGAGAATGGCCGAGTAGTTACGATTGCGCATCCGAGCTCACCCTTGAGCTTAAATGTTAGGCCCGGTGTTTCTGCCGTGTTTGTGGTAAATCCCTGAGTTCGCCTTCATCAGTGGTTGACTCAATAAGTTGTATATTGGATCGCTATTTATGCTATTTTGTTTCATTTCGTATGTGATATTGGACCATACACCAGTTGTCTTTGGATAAAATAGTAGTTGATTTTTTTCGAGCTCAGTATCATATTGTGTTGTGAAAAGTCGAGATGACTATACCAGCTAATGCTTTGATAAAAAGTTCTTGTAAGTTCTTATGTCTTTTATAAGCTATAATGCCTTTAATGGGCTGATGATTAAATATGGTCACACATTCAGGGTTTTGTGAAATAAGATGCCAGTGTTTCATTATTATATTTTTAGTTTCTGTATAGATGGGTTGAATTTTGTTAACATTACTACATTACATACCGTTTCGCTGGGCGATGTGTTAGCAAGTTTTCCCTTTCTGTATTTTGTGTTTGATAAAAAAAATCGTTGATTTCAGATATTTGATATCCTTGTTTGAGCGTTTTTTTAAGATCAGTTTTGCTGCTTGTGTTTCTGAGATACCTCAATACTTCACCCTTGATAAATCCTTTCAATGAAAACACTTTTTGGGTGTGAGCTGTGTCTGTGCAGATATTGATATGTTTCAGTTGGTTTGATATTGGTTTTAATGTCTTGTATCATACTATGCCTTCGTTAAAGAATCTTTCTCCTTTGTATAATTATGACAGTGTATAAGAATATTGTTTCATTACAGGAAAATTCGTAGGTGAACTTCAACTATCATTATCATTTTGTTTCTCTGTGTTGAAAGCGTTGTAAAATGTGTTCAAAAATTAGCAAACATTGTAAGGTCTGCTAACTCAGCGAATGCTGATCCGCACATAGGCACGCCCAAGGGTTCATGGTAAAGTTTATTGTTAAAAATAAATTCGTAGTTTTCTAGAATAAGCCTTAATAGGCTTAGTCATACTCGCTTGGATCAGGGTTTGTGGCTTCTAGTATTTCCTTAAATGAAAAACAAGTGTACATATTTTTTGCATCGAATGTTACTAGGTAGCAGTCTCTTTGGGGTTTTATATTTTCAATTGAATTAATAAAACTATAAGAAAAATATAGAACCGTGTCTCAATTTATATGTGGTCTACTCTAAGTCACAAAGACATTGATATTTATTAACATTTTCTAGTCTAGAAATTGTAAGGTCTTCTAGTCATGCATAATACGTTATACAGTATGTTGTTTTAGTATCAATAAAGTTCAATTTGTTGTTTTTCTGTGTTTTCCTGTGTGTTAGATATATTTCAGGGATTTTCTATAAAAAAAAAAAAAAAAAAAGCCTACCTACCTACCCACTTTCAAAATGGTGGGTAGGGTAAGGGGAAACAAAGATATTTTTAATTGCGGCCCAAGAAGTTTTCTTATCAATGGTATTTAGACCCCCTTCCATGTAAATTTGCCCCCACCTCTAAAATTTTAAATTTCAAATTATCAAAGTGTTTAGAGTATAGCATCAAGGTTCAATGCTTCAATAAGTATTTAAAATGAAAAACATGTTGGAAATTTGTTTACAACACTTTTTCTTAGCCATGGTATTTTAGACTCTCTCCCATACTCAATGTACAAAATACTGAAATATACTTTAATAGCATACCTTCCAAGGTCATCAAATATTTCAGGTAACAGGAAGTTAAGCAGTGACCATAACTCTGCTAAATTGTTCTGAAGTGGAGTTCCCGTTAAAAGAAGTCTGTGTGTATTTTTGTACAAACGAAGTTCTCTGAAAGAAAAATTATATATTGCCAATGTATAGTTATTAAAGAGCAGATTTATTCACAAATATCTAGAATAAGACTTTTAAGGGATCATAGATTTATTCTTACGAGGAAGCTCCGAGCATGCTCGGAGGATGCTCAGAGCTTTTTCAGTAGGCTCTTCTCTGCAGTTTATGTGAAAATAATTATCATGATCCATTAAGATGTCAATCAAATCTACACCACTTCTATAATAAGGAAAGTTGAGCATTATAGAGGAAGCTCAATTAACACCTGTGTAAACAACTGATCTATTCAAATACATTTTGCATGACATTTTACAAATTATAGAAAAGATAAGAAATTCTTCAACAGTACTGTGTAATGCTTGGAAAGAAATCTCTCGTCTCCACAAAAAAGTGAAAGTCATTTAACAAAAAATATACAATTATTATATTTATTAATCATTTCTTTTTTTATAATAAAAAAAATTCTCAAATCTTATAATTAGATGATATGATTTAAATATAGTTTATATTATATAATATGCTACATAAAAGTTATCAAGACACAAACAACAGTCAGGGGGCGATACTAAACAAGTTATTTTTTTTAGTTACTTAATATATATTAATAGGTATTTTTTGTTTTTTTTTAATTATTTGATATAAACTCAATAGTTATTTTAAATGTCAAAAGTGGACTAAATGTAGTTTTTAAGAATTTTGTCATCATTTCATTAAGTAAAATTAAGTATTTATCCAACTTGAGATGAGTATAGAGAGATTACTTTAAAAATAATGACAAAAATATTACTTTTATAAATTATTTTATACATCTTCGAAAAACTAAGCATACTTACAATTATTTAAGGAACATATGTAATTGTTTTTGATAAAGATTTCAAATTATAAATAACTTCAAGTCTTAATTAAATCACAAAGTTCCATCCATTTATATTTGTTCATCTCTAAGATTTTAAAGGAAAATGTTATTTTAATAGCCCCAAGAGACCAATCTATGACCAAGAAGTGTGGCATCAGAAAGGCAATTAGTGTTTCAGGAGGATTTAAATAGTTTTATACTGTATGGGGAAAATAACCAGATGTGAAAATTTGGTAAAGCTTGTAAAACCTGTATGAATGGAGACCTATAGAAATAATATTAACAGAAGTTACTTATTCATGATATATAAGTAATATTTGAAACAACCTTGTTTTCAATGTAACTTGTATAAGTAATTTTGAAAATTACTTGTTTAAGTAATGCCCCTAACTATTAAAACAATGATATTTTTTTTTTTTATAAAATAGCAAAGTTAGTTTTTTATAAAAAAAATTATGGCTACTCTAAGAAAAGTTGAGGAGGTAATACCACCATTGTTTTCCCTCTAGTACGTCTCACTTTAATTGTCATTTTTTTTATAATTGTGCAGATTTGGTTTTATTTTAAATAAAGAAATACTTAGCATAATTATATAAGTGAAGTTTTATCCTGACCTGTACTTGAATGAAAATCTAATATAAAATTGTTTCCCCCTATCAGTCTTTGTTTAATTGGTATTTTTCCAAAAATATGTGCAGAATTTATCTATGTTTTAAATAAAGAAATACTTGACATGAGTAAAGTTTTTTCTTGTCCTGTACTATAGTAATAAAACAACATAATTTTTCAGTGCATATAAGAAAGAAGACATCACCAGAATTAACCAACCAAATTCTATCCCCCTCTTTTTTTCTCTGTTTACAAGCTTTAGTAGTCATGTCCCCTAAAATTGCAAAAATATTTTATATAAAAAACTAACTTTGCTATTTTATAAAAAAAATACCATTGTTTAGTTAAGGGCATTACTTAAACTAGTAATTTTCAAAATAACCTATACAAGTTATATTGAAAACAAGGTTGTTTCAAATATTACTTATATATCATGAATAAGTAACTTCTGTTAATATTATTTCTATAGGTGTTCATACAGGTTTTACAAGCTTTAACAAATTTTCACTTCTGGTTATTTTCCCCATGCAGTATAAAACTATTTAAATCCTCCTGAAACACTAATTGCCTTTCTGATGCCACACTTCTTGGTCATAGATTGGTCTCTTGGGGCTATTAAAATAACATTTTCCTTCAAAATCTTAGAGATGAACAAATATAAATGGATGGAACCTTGTGATTTAATTAAGACTTGAAGTTATTTATAATTTGAAATCTTTATCAAAAACAATTACATATGTTCCTTAAATAATTGTAAGTATGCTTAGTTTTTCGAAGATGTATAAAATAATTTATAAAAGTAATATTTTTGTCATTATTTTTAAAGTAATCTCTCTATACTCATCTCAAGTTGGATAAATACTTAATTTTACTTAATGAAATGATATAAAAATTCTTAAAAACTACATTTAGTCCACTTTTGACATTTAAAATAACAATTGAGATTATATCAAATAATTTAAAAAAACAAAAAATACCTATTAATATAAGTAACTAAAAAAAATTACTCGTTCAGTATCGCCCACTGACTGTTGTTTGTGTCTTGATAACTTTTATGTAGCATATTATATAATATAAACTATATTTAAATCATATCATCTAATTATAAAATTTGAGATTTTTTTTTATTATAAAAAAAGAAATGATTATTTTAAAAATATAATAATTGTATTTTTTTTTGTTAAATGACTTTCACTTTTTGTGGAGACATGAGATTTCTTTCCAAGCATTACACAGTACATTTGAATAGATTAGATGTTTACACAGGTGTTAATTGAGCTTCCTCTATAATTCTCTACTTTCCTTATTATAGAAGTGGTGTAGATTTGATTGACATCTTAATGGATCATGATAATTATTTTCACATAAACTGCAGAGAAGAGCCTACTGAAAAAGCTCTGAGCATCCTCCGAGCATGCTCGGAGCTTCCTCGTTAGAATAAATCTATGATCCCTAAGAGTTTACATGGTATAGAAAACTTGCATATTTCATTGAAGACTGTAGGTTTTATTTAGCTTGACTATGATGTGTGGTTGCTGTCTCATTGGTGTACCTCCATACCTTCCTTTAATCATACTAATCCTGTAGACTGGAGCATGGAGCACAATGGAGATCAGGACAAAGATTATTACAATAAATGATGAGAAACAACCAATATAAAGCTGATACTGTTGAATTCTATTCTAATCTATTTCTAATTCTGATTACTGTAAATTCAGAAATTATTGCGTGCATTTATTATTGCGATTTTGTCATTTTAGACTAAAATGCGATTTTAAATTTTTGCGATATTGAGAAAAATCTTAATTCATATAAAAAATTTCAAAATGCGAGTTTAAATTATTGCGATTATAACCCTGTCGCATTTTTCGCAATAATAAAAACATCGCAATAATTTCTGAATTTACCGTAGTATCAAAAATGTGGCATTACTCTTGATTTCGACAATGGACTAGTTTTCATATGTTCGTTTTAGGATCTTTTATTATAATGTACAAACTTTTTTGAAAATTTGATGAGGAATGTAGGAGTTGTGTACAAAAATACATACTGAAGAGTAGAAAAAATATACTCAGTTCAAAGAGGAATAACTCTGGGATTTTTTAAAGGTCCAGGATGCACAGTTCAAATGTTGCAAGTTTTTATGAATATCTGATATAACATGTAGGAGGAATTAAGTCCACAAACTGCTTACTCAGCAATTAATGAATTTCAGTATGTTATTCATACCAACTTACCTAATCAACCTGCAATTAGTATTCTTTATTCTATGTCCTTCGTCAACTATCAGATACTTCCACTCATAGTTCTGTAGCAACTGTCTGTCTCTTATTGTCATTTCATAAGAAGTAAGGACAACTGGTCTAACTTCAATACCTTGTCTGATTGTATAACGTTTAGATATCTTCCTTCTTAATCCATGTCGAACATTTTGGTTTCCATGGTAAAGTACTGTTGGTACCTACAAACCATTAAAAATGGTGAAAATATTATAACTTGCACAAATTTGATGATAATATGGATCTTTCACAAAACAATGAAGGCTTAAAAAAGATGTCTAAATTGCTCATCTTAATTTGATCAGCAAAACATTAACTGCAAACTACCTAGAGATCATAAAGTGACAGCTTAGCTTTTGTATAATAATTTCCATATGGCATTTGATAACTATAGTTAAGAAAAAAGTTTTGAGCCATCTATTCCGCATCTTCGCTAGCCAAGGGTTACGATCCACTTCCCTCCTCTCCACCCTTGGCAGATTAAGCCAACATTTGTAATAACAATGTTGAGCCATCTGTCGGTAGATTAAAGTCAGGCCCATTCCGAATACATTATTCTTGACCAATGGTAGCACTTGAACTCTTCTATTTGGAGGTAAAAACAGGGGGGTAGCGTCTAGATTCTACACTCTACACACTTGGTAAAGCAGAAAACGAAAATATACGTTGACATTCATGCATTTGTGCAAGAAACATACACAGGAACTTCTATAAGTTAATTAAAAACTTTCAAATTGTCACTAAATATGGTCGTATGTTTAGGGATGTAAAGACTTGTTGCACAATAAGCACGTGGCAATTGTTTACATACACTTTCTACATTTACATCTGATCATGTTATAGGCGCTTTTTGATTGGATTTAGCGAGTTTCGACTGCAACCAATGAAAATCATTACCTTGTGTCTCCGAAATTCTATCTCAATCTGCCAAGGGTGGAGAGGAGGGAAGTGGATTGTAACCCTTGGCTAGCGAAGATGTCTATTTCGGAAGTCCCTCAAATTTATTTTTAGCCTTTTTCAAAATTAACCATTCATGCATGGCAATATAAAGGAGAGCAAAAATAACAATTTAGGCAGAAAATTAAAGTACAAACTAGACAAACAGATGCCCCTGCACTCCACTCTGAAGTAACTGTATTATAACAAAGTCAATGAAGGACTTTCTCTGAGGTATTATTGTGTCTGGGAGACACAAATGATGCCCACGCAGATGCAAAGTGTTACTTTAAAATACACAAAGTGAGCATGGGAGCACATAGGTCTATGGTTCACTGTAGGCGGAGTTATCCGGAAACGCTATGCACTTCTTATGCAAGTATATACTCCAAAAATGACAAAGTTCAACTATCTCCAAAAAGAGCAAATATTAATAAAAATCAAAACCCTGACCACATGCACACCTTCAATATACGTACAAACAGCCAGCAAAGTGAAAACTTCCTAGCATTCAAACTGTAGGAAGAGTTAATTGGAATAGCTATATACCCATAATGGGACGGACGGACAGGGATAAAACAATATGCCCCCAAATTTCAGTTGCGGGGGCATAAAAAATGTATTTCCATGCATTTGGCAATTGGCAGAACAGTCAAGAATGTCAAAAAGACAGTATAAACCACAGTTTTTTTTCTTTCAATATGGCAATTATGCAAATCAATGTAAGATCTATAGCTATATTGATTGACTAGAATCATTAGACTAATTTTCTAGTGTTTTTCAGGGTCATTAGACTACTTGGACTAATTTAATAGCTTAAACAATTAGGTAAAATAACAGTCAATGTATACCTTCATTTTTTTGTTCATTCTTGTGTTGCCATCAGGATATTGATTTTTTTATTGTTTTTTTTTTTTTTTTAACCTTCCAGCTGTTTTAATCACTAAATATCGCCTATCTTTTGTTAACATATTCTTTCACCTCTCCAGGAGTATGCTTTTACTTGGTGATTTGGCCATTTTCTTAATCATGTCTGTTTGGTGCAACTTTTCAAACAGACAGTGCTGTCTTTATTTGATGGATGCATAGATTTTCTACTACAATTCTAATATGGAATCACTAATGTATAAATTTTCTTTCCGGTCAAAATAAGTCTTTCTTAAATCATCAGATTAAAAAAGCTGAAACATGTTAAGTTACCTTTGGAGCAAATCTTTGAAACTCTGACTGCCAGTTTGGTAGTGTAGACAAAGGTGTTACAACTAAAAATGGACCAGGTACTCCCATATTTACTAAATGAGCCATCATTGCTATACACTGTACAGTTTTACCCAGACCCATTTCATCAGCTAAAATTCCATTAACACCATTCTCATACAAACACTGTAAAAAATAAAAAAAATAAAAACTTTCATAAAATAACAGTACATTGGTCAAGTCACAGATTTTATAAAGATTATGCATGCAACTGTGGTATAATATACTTGAACTAACAAGAGTACACAGACTGAAATGTCTCACCTGCTTTACTGACCATTGATTTTATGTTGATAGTCCTAAATATAAAGCTTTACTACAAGTATCATAAACTTAACATGATCCAAGAAAATGAGGTCAAGGTCAGATAAACCAAACCGGAAATACATGTACACCTTACAATCATTCCATGCACCAAATATAGTTGACCTATTGCTTATAGTTTCTTAGAAACGAACTTAACCAGGAAAACTTAACATTGACCAATGAACCATGAAAATGAGGTCAAGGTCAGATGAACCATATCATGTGAGACAGACATGTACACCTTACAATCAATCTATGCATTAAAAAAAGTTGACATATTGATAACAGTATCTAAGAAACAAATTTAACCATAAAAACTTAACATTGACCAATAAACCATGAAAATGAGGCCAAGTTCAGATGATACCTGCCAGAGAGACATATAAACCTTACAATCATTCCATACACCTATTGCTTATAGTTTAAGAAAAACAGACCAAAACATAAAAACTTACCACTGAGCAATGAACCATGAAAATATGGTCAAGGTCAAATAAAACCTACCAGACTGACATGTACATCATAAAATATTTCCATTCACCAAATATAGTTAACTATTTCTTCAGTCAGGGGTACTACTTGTACAAGTAATTTTTATTTACTTGAAGAAGTAATATATATATACTTATATAAGTAAATTTGTAGGATACTTATACAAGTGTATTTTATTTACTTGTACAGGTAAAAAAAAAATTGGCTTAGTTATGTCCCTTCGACATTCAGATTTTTTTACTTATATAAGTGAAAAAGTCATCCTATCTTCTTTTCTTGAATTCTTAGGACTTCTTTGCTCTAATAGAATTTTAAATTGTCTGTACTTTGCAGATGTCTTAACTAATCATTTAATTGTAATTTCAGGGACAATGAAAATCTCATTTGTCTGTTATCTTCAGAACACTGCTCATTTACAAGCCCCCAAGGAGCAATTTTTGAAGGCCTTGCCCAAATACTTAATATCTTTGCGCAATCAGTTTCTTTGTTGAATTAATGAGATGAAACATTGAACTCTGATCAAAAATTATGAGCTAACCTGGGAAAAGTCATTCAAGGCATGTTTTTACATCTCAAAACTTGAGAATTTTTGTGGGATTGTAAAAAAAGTTTTCTTATACAAGTGAATTTTGAGAAAATTTAGGGGAGATTATTCAAACATTATAATTAACTTACATGTATATAAGTATATTTTTTTTACTTCTTCAAGTAAATAAAGATTACTTGTACAAGTAATACCCCTGACTGTCCTTACAGTATTAGAAAAACAGACCAAAACACAAACATTTACTTTAACAACTGAACCATGAAAATGAGGTCAAGGTCAGATGACACCTGCCAATTGGACATGTACACCTTACAATTATCATGATTATTCCATACACCAAATATAATAGACCTAATGCTTATAGTATCTAAGATATGGACTTGACCAAGAAAACTTAACCTTGTTCACTGATCCATGAAATGAGGTAGAGGTCAAGTGAAAACTGTCTGTCAGGCATCAGGATCTTGCAAGGTAGGCACATACCAAATATAGTTATCCTATTACTCATAATAAGAGAGAAACTTACATTACAAAAAAAATTAATTTTTTTTCAAGTCTTTACTGAACCATGAAAATAAGGTCAAGGATGGACATATGACAGACGGAAACTTCGTAACATATGGCATGTTTATACAAAGTATGAAGCATCAAGGTCTTCCACCTTCTAAAATATAAAGCTTTTAAGTAGTTAGTTGACGGCACCGCTGCCGTCGGATTACTATCCCTATGTCAAGCTTTCTGCAACAAAAGTCGCAGGTTTGACAAAAATTAAAAACAAATCAAACAATCCTCATATTCTCTGAAATATCACTGAATGAATTCTTTCAAGAACATATAGATTTGTATAGAAAACACTTAAAATATGTGAAAAATTTTCTTGAAATTATTTTAAAATCATCAAATCTCAAAAACAATCCATAGATTTTTTCTTAAAAATTGTTGGAAGTTTTAACATCTAGTATCAGATAAAATGCAAATTCAGGAAAAGAACATGTTAAGGTGATATGAATATGTATCCATCTTTGTACTGCTGGATTTTCAAGGTGTTAGTTCACCAGACAACAGTCCACAAGCATGTCACCCTTTTTGGACACATTATTCGGACTCCCAGTTAAACAGGCTTTACAATTGCACCTACTGTTGCATGCTTATCTTTGAAGCAGAAGTATTTTGATTTGGACAAATATAACCAAGGACCTCTTGCACCCAAAGCCAGCACACTACTCACAAGACCCCTGAGGCAGTTTTTAAAAAAATCGTTACTTCATATTCTGTTTGATTGATATAACATAGTAATATGGTCACCAACTTCTTTTTTGATGTATTAACCAATCTGGTACTTACAAGCAATATTTTATGGCTTAAAGGGGCATTAGCTGTCAAATTCAAGTTCACTGATTGGACTCAAATTCTCATATTTGATTTATAACAGTCATACTAAAACGTATATCCAAATTATAAAAAGTCTAAAATAAACAATTTACAATGCATGAGCCCGATAATATGTATCCGCATTTCGAGTGTATTTTAGTGTAGACACCATCTAATTAACAATCGAGGTGACCTCCGAAGACTGCTGATGGTCATATAACCCAATTTAAACATAAATATAGATATAAATAGATAGCAAACTCGTGCAATTGGATTTTTCTAGGTCTGTTTGATTTCATATTAAAGGCTAAAAATATATGTTAATCATCTCTTTTACCTGTATAAGAATGAGTTTTTGTGGATCACTTTCAATGTTGATATTCTTTTCCTTTTAATAACTGAACACGCATAATTCATGCGTAACCCATCTCTAGCTAAAGGGTTAAATTGAAGGTCACATGAATACAGATTCAATGAGGTCGAATTATTCACTTGCAAGTGAATAATTCATCAGCAATGTTTCTTAGTTTATATTGACAAAATTGAACCAAACTGGCTGCTAAAAGCGAATTATTATTTCACTGTTTCACTTTCATTAATGATTGAACTAATATTTTTTATATCTCGTAGCTAATGCCCTTTTAACAATGCAACTACATAATTTCAACATTTTGTGGAATTTTTTCAATACGCCTCCACTTTGAATAATGAATACCAAAAAAAGAAGTTCAATGCCCACCTTTAATGTCAACCCTGCTCATTCATCTAAAGTTTTTTAACCTTTCAATTTATTCATTTTATTTCAGTTATCATCTTTCAGAATTGATTATTATAAAAACATGTATTTTCAAAATTACCCTAAAACAAACCAACCTTCAGCCAGTTGTAACCTTGTGACTGGTAATCACGCAATTCTCCACCTGTAAACAATTTAGGTATTCCTGAATCTTCATCTTCCAATCCCTGAAAAATTTCTTATTTCAATTAAATGTATTGATGAAGGTTAGAAGGTGGAAACAATTGAAGATTTTGTTCTTGATGAAAATACCTAACAATGTTCACTATTGAAAATGATCAACACATAAGTTTTTAATACCGAGGATTCTTCTCAATTGTATTCAATCTAGGACACTACTGAAAAACCTTTGATATCAATACAAAATCTTTTAAACAAGCACAAGATAAGACCCTATATCAGTCAGAGCTCTGACATAAACAAGTCAGAATAAAATGACTTCCATAGGTCAGATATAATTTGATGTAAGTGTTGTCTCCCTTCTTGCACTCAACAGAATATGACTTGTACAGGTCAGTTTATGTCAGACTTTAATTTATCATAAAATGACTTCCACAGGTCAGATTTTGCACAAAATATTGTGACTTAATATCTTCATATTCTAATAAGATTTATGCCCCTTTTTAATGCATTTTGACTTCGAGAGGTCATTTTTGTTCTGATTTGAAGCAGTCATTACTACCACTTTGTTATCAATCTCCATAAAAATATGGTGATTACTAGTTTCGAATTAAAGAGTTTTAAAAAGTGGGGCTCATCTGACATCATACCTTCTCCTTTCCAGAATCTAAACATAATATATTTATCTCATCACTTTCAATTATTTCAAAATACAAAGAAAAACCAGGTGAGAAAAAATGGATCATACAAATTTCTGAATATCAAAAGATTTACAAAATACAATATTGGATACATTACATGACAATACTTCAAATCTTCCAAGGAAAAACAAGACACTTATTCATGATAAGACTATGTTAATAAAAGATATATTCTCATCCACTTTAAGCTAAATGTATTAAGAGCAAAACATTTATTATTTTAATATTTCATTGAGGTAAATACTGTTGTGCAAACTGACTCAAACAAGTCACATTATGTTCTGACTTACTAAACGTACTACAACTTTTAAGTCTAGTATTGTCATATTGATTCAAAAATGTATAGGTAAGCCAGATAAAAGACTGAGGAAATTAGGTCCCCATAAGTCACAATAATGAGGACTATAAAAAAGTTTATTTGGTATATTCAATATTAAATGTATTTTGTTTTAAACAGGTCAAATCATGTTCTGACTTAAAAGAGTCAGTCCAAAACTAAAATAAATTTATTGAAATATTTAAGCCGGGCATTGCCATATGATATTAAATGAATGTATGGGAACGTCAGATAAAAGACACAGGAAATATATGTTAAGATCCCCTAAAATAAATAACCATTTGACTTAATTGTTTCTAAAAATTTATCAAATAATAAACTCGAAAATGGCAGACTCAGAAGCAGTCTGAAAGCAAGGACTTTCTTGGATTAAAGGAAGTACACCTAGCTTTGATTGGAAATTTTGTTCTGTAAACTGACTTTAACAGGTCAAATCATGTTCTGACCTCAAAGAGTCAGTCAAAACTAAACTTATTACAACTTTTAACATGTTTAAGTCTAGTATTGTCATATTGATTTAAAAATAAGGTCCCCTAAAGTCACAATAATGAGGATTATATAAAAAAGTTTATTTGGTATATTCAATATTTAAATGTATTTTGTTTTAAACAGGTCAAATTATGTTCTGACTTCAAAGAGTCAGTCAAAAACTATACTTTAACTAATTATTGCAACTTCTAAGTCTGGCATTGTCATATACATTTAAGAATGTATGGGAAAAAACAGATAAAAGACACCCAATAATAAAGTCACAATAATGAGGACTAAAAAAAAGGTTGTTTGGTATATGTAATATTCAAATGTATTTTGTTTACAATTTTCATCAAATAATCTTAAAATTTTATTCTATTTCTGTATTTTCATGACTTTTTCTTTTCTGTTAAGTTAACACATAGAACTTTTGGTTGTAAAAAATATTATTTTAAAGACCATTTTGACTGAATTGTTTCTAAAAAAACTTATCAATTAACATGATTAATTAACTCAACAGTAGCAGATCTAGATAAAGGGAAAAAAGGGGGGGGGGGGGGGCTTAGAGGAAGAAGACCTAGTTTTGATTGGAAATTTTGTTCTGTAAACTGACTTTAACAGGTCAAATCATGTTCTGACTTCAAAGAGTCAAACAAAACTAAACTTATTTCAACTTTTAAGTCTAGGATTTTCATATTGATTTTAAAATGTATGGGAAAGCCAGATAAAAGCCAGATGAAATAAGGTCCCCTTACGTCACAATAATGAGGACTATAAAAAAGTTTATTTGGTATATTCAATATCAAATGCATTTTGTTTTTAAAGATTTTCATCAAATTATCTTAAAATTTTATTTTATTTCTGTATTTTCATGACTTTTCTTTTCTGTTAAGTTTACACATAGAACTTGTGGTTGCCAAAAAAAATAAAATTTTAATAACCATTTGGCTGAATTGTTTCTAAAAAAACTTATCAATTAATTAACTCAACAGTAGCAGATTCATATTAAGGGGGGGGGGGGGGGGGGGGGGCTTAGAGGAAGAACACCTAGCTTTGATTGGAAATTTTGTTCTGTAAACTGACTTTAACAGGTCAAATCATGTTCTGCTTTCAAAGAGTCAGTCAAAACTAAACTTATTAATACAACTTTTAAGTCTAGTATTGTCGTATTGATTTAAAAATGTATGGGAAAGCCAGATAAAAGACAGAGGAAATAAGGTCCCCTAAAGTCACAATAATGAGGACTATAAAAAAGTTTATTTGGTATATTCAATATTAAATGTATTTTGTTTTAAACAGGTCAAATCATGTTCTGACTTAAAACAGTCAGTCCAAAACTAAGTTTATTGAAATTTTAAAGTTGGACACTTCCATATGATATTAATGAATGTATGAGAACGTCAGATAAAAGACATAGGAAATATATGTAAGATCCCCTAAAATAAATAACCATTTGACTTAATTGTTTCTAAAAATTTATCAAATAATAAACTCAAAAATGGCAGATTCAGAAGCAGGGCTTAAAGGAAGTACACCTAGCTTTAATTGGAAATTTTGTTCTGCAAACTGACTTGAACAGGTCAAATTATGTTCTGACAAATTGACTTAAACAGGTCAAATCATGTTCTGACTTAAAAATATCAGTCAAAAACTAAATTTATTGAAATTTTTAAGTCAGGCATTGCCATATGATATTAATGATATGTATGGAAAAGTCAGATAAAATACACACGAAATACATGCAAGATCCTCTAAGATAAATAACCATTTGACTTAATTGTTTCTTAAAACTTATCAATTAATAAACTCAACAGTGGCAGATTCAGAAGGGGACTAAGAGGAAGAACACATAGCTTTGATTGGAAATTGTGTACTGTAAACTGACTCAAGCAGGTCAAATCATGTTCTGACTTATAAGAGTCTGTCAAACACTAAATGGATTGCAACTGTAACAGTCGGGCATTGTCATGATTGTGATGTGATTGTTAGAATGTATGGATACAAGTAGGAAAAAAGATCACAAATATTAAGTCACAATTTTTAGAACTATATAAAAGTTAATTTGGTATATATTTGATATCTTAATATTTCATTGAGGTAAATCCTGTTGTGCAAACTGACTTGAACAAGTCACATTATGTTCTGACTTCAAAGAGTCAGTCAAAAACTATACTTTTACTAATTATTGCAACTTTTAAGTCTGGAATTGTCATATGCATTTAAGAATGTATGGGAAAATCAGATAAAAGACACCCAATAATAAAGTCACAATAATGAGGACTATAAAAAAGTTTATTTGGTATATTTAATATTCAAATGTATTTTGTTTACAAATTTCATCAAATTATCTTAAAATTTTATTCTATTTCTGCATTTTTATGACTTTTTTTTCTGTTAAGTTAACATATGGAACTTTTGGTTATAAAAAATATTATTTTAAAACCATTTGACTGAATTGTTTCTAAACAAACTTATCAATTAATTAACTCAACAGTAGCAGATTCAAATTAGGGGGGGGGGGGGCTTAGAGGAAAAGACCAGTTTTGATTGGAAATTTTGTTCTGTAAACTGACTTTAACAGGTCAAATCATGTTCTGACTTGAAAGAGTCAAACAAAACTTAACTTATTACAACTTTTAAGTCTAGTATTGTCATATTGATTTAAAAATATATAGGTGAGCCAGATAAAAGACAGAGGAAATAAGGTAGCCATAAGTCACAATAATGAGGACTATAAAAAAGTTTACTTGGTATATTCAATATTAAATGTATTTTGTTTTAAACAGGTCAAATCATGTTCTGACTTAAAAGAGTCAGTCCAAAACTAAAATAAATTTATTGAAATATATAAGCTGGGCATTGCCATATGTTATTTAATGAATGTATGGGAACGTCAGATAAAAGACACAGGAAATATATGTAAGATCCCCTAAAATAAATAACCATTTGACTTAATTGTTTCTAAAAACTTATCAAATAATAAACTCGAAAAATGGCAGATTCAGAAGCAGGGCTTAAAGGAAGTACACCTAGCTTTGATTGGAAATTTTGTTCTGTAAACTGACTTTAACAGGTCAAATCATGTTCTGACTTCAAAGAGTCGAACAAAACTAAACTTATTACAACTTTTAAGTATAGTATTGTCATATTGATTTAAAAATGTATGGGTGAGCCAGATAAAAGACAGAGAAAATAAAGTCCCCATAAGTCACAATAATGAGGACAATAAAAAAGTTTATTTGGTATATTCAATATTAAATGTATTTTGTTTTAAACAGGTCAAATCATGTTCTGACTTAAAAGAGTCAGTCCAAAACTAAAATAAATTTATTGAAATATTTAAGCCGGGCATTGCAGGGCTTAAAGGAAGTACACCTAGCTTTGATTGGAAATTTTGTTCTGCAAATTGACTTAAACAGGTCAAGTCATGTTCTGACTTTAAAAAATCAGTCAAAAACTAAATTTATTGAAATTATTAAGTCAGGCATTGCCATTTGATATTAATGATAATGTATGGAAAAATCAATTAATAAACTCAACAGTGGCAGATTCAGAAGGGGGCTAAGAGGAAGAACACATAGCTTTGATTGGAAATTTTGTCCTGCAAATTGACTCAAACAGGTCAAATCATGTTCTGACTTAAAAGAGTCTGTCAAAAACTAAATGGATATGCATAAAATTTTGAAAAGATGGAGAGATTAATGAGTCTATATTTTGTTATTCCGACTCACAAATGTCACTATGTGACAAATTTCGGGAATTTTTCTCTCCTTTTGACTGATTCCTATATGTTGTATGGGTGCCATAACTATCACTACAACATGTACAAAGTCAGCACATTCTAAGGGACACCATCAAAAGACAACTTTCAATTTGACTTTAGAAATTAAAGAGTTTGTAAGCAAAATGTTGGGGAAATTTAATTATAATGAAGAATGTTTAAAATTAGTTAAGAAAAAAGCCGACATTAATAATGTTAAAAAAAATTTGAGGAGAAAAAACATACAAATTCAGACCAAATATGGTGACTTTGTTGTCCTTCAAGAAGCCGTACATATAATCCATAATATTTTCACTGTTTTTTAAATACATGTAAAAGTTGAAAGATAACTATCTATTGATTTTTTTTTAAATAGCTTTTTTCACAACACTTATAACTTTGTAATTTATGTTCCATTGTACACTTGTTATTCTTAATATCTTTAAAAATTGTTGTTTGGGAACAAAATCTTGTCAGGGTTTCTTATGGTACTAGCATGACAAGTGCATTCATATTCTAAAATACTCTAAACATTAAAAAAAGTCAGTATTTTCAGATCATTCTGAGTCTTTCTGACCTTATTAAGTCAGAACATTCAGACTTTTATAAGTTTGAACATTCAGACTTTTATAAGTCAGAACATTCTGACTTCCAATGTTCTTCTCACTTCTGTAGAAACAAAGACTATCTATGTCTCAAATAAGAGGTAAATGTTTCATGTGGCTAAGCATCTGGGGTAAGAATTATAGATGTGTAATTTCAGAGGAAAACAAATATGCCAAAAAATTATTTTTTTTCATATAGATTAGACCGTTGGTTTTTCCGTTTGAATGGTTTTACACTAGTAATTTTTTGAGGCCCTTTATAGCTTGCTGTTCGGTGTGAGCCAATGCTCCGTGTTGAAGGCCGTACCTTGACCTATAATGGTTTACTTTTATAAATTGTAACTTGGATGGAGAGTTGTCTCATTGGCACTCATACCACATCTTCCTATATCCATGTAATTAATAAGATGTGATGCGTGTGAGAGGAAAATAATACTGAATAGACAATTCTGTTTGCACAAACACTGATAAATATAATATGTAAAGGTGGTCTCTCAGCAGATTAAAATAAACAAGAAATAATTGTAACAGGATGCTGTTACGAAGTCTCCCAAACAAATTTAAGCTCCCATAATTCGTCATTCCCATGGTTGCCTGACATTGGGCAAGTTCCACTACAAATTGGTTTTGTCTAGTAAAGTGATATGCATAAGTGACGCCTAGGGTTTGACCCTGCATGTCATTCAAATCTTCTTGAAATGACGAACAGGAATATCATATGGTTTACCTTTAGGGGTGGTGATCCAGAACATTTCAAAAAGGGGGATGGGGATGACCCCAATGGACTTCCCCTATATTTCATTTGATTTGTTTTATTGTCCTGTGCAAGAATGTATATGGTGTAGGGGTGGGGATCTCGACCGTTTACAAGTTTTCAAACATGAGGGGGTGGGGGTGACCCCAAGGGACTTCCCCTATACTTCATTTGATTTGTTTTATTGTCCTATTCAAGAAAATATATGGTTTAGGGGTGGGGATCTCGACCGTTTACAAGTTTTCAAACAGGAGGGGTAGGGGTGATCCCCAGGGACCTCCCCAACATATCATTTGATTTGTTAAATTGTCCCATACAAGAATATATATGGTTTAGGGGTGGGGATCTCTACCGTTTACAAAATATAAGAACATTTGCAAATGGCAGGGGGTGGGGGTAAACCTGGAGACTAGCCCGGTATATTTCATTCAAATCAATTTGACATTATAAAGAGGAATAGAGAAATGACAGGGATAGGGGTGATCCCTGGAGACTTACCCTACATTTCATTTGATTTGTTTTATCATGTCCCATGATCATAAATGAAGACCAGGTGTGTGCATCACTTATTGTTCTCAAGTTATAACTTTAAAAATAAAATAAAAAACCCTTGGGTTCTTCAGTTAAACCCCTCCCTTCCTTTATCTTTTATTAAAATTTTTCCCATTTTCGTTTCATTATCATCATATCAATATTCACAATGATTGTTTTTCTCATAGGGAGAAACGAATCAGAAAGGTTAAAAAATCAGTTCGTGATCGAGTTTAAAAATAGAAAAAAGCATGTGACGATGTTCAGCTCGAAGCAATAATTTTACTTTTTAAATTGCACTGACTGGTTAATAATGTTAATATTGTTTAAGACAACACGATTTATCTCCCGAAAATAACAATTCATTATCATAACAACATTTTCTGACCTGAACAAGTCAGAACTGTCAAACACCAGGTCATCTAAAAGACCACGCGTCTGTATTTACAGGTCGCGCGCCTTCATGAAACAGCAAAAAAATCACTTGCAAGGAACTTCTTTATAGGCAAAAAATATAAAAATGCCCATGAAAATACGGAGGTAATATGAATTACCTTTCTAAAAATGCCCACAATGACCTAGATTTTCACTAAAAATCGTAAATAATCAATATAATATTCAATGACTTCTCGTTCGAGACACTTCCAAAACAACGACTCTCAAACACGTGATCTCTTGCAAAAAACCACGTGATCGTATGTGTCGTAGATCGGCGGCAAATTCAAAATAACTTCTGGTTTGACGGACTCGAGTGAAAACTACGCAAAACAAAAATTGACGCGTACAGGTCAGAATTTCATAACACTTTCTGACTTGAAGAAGTCATTTTATTCTGACTTGTTTATGTCAGAGCTCTGACTGTATATCATGATATCTTAAATTGTCCATTCATTTCATGCCGAATTAATTTAGAATAAATTGATTATCATTCATATTTGCAAGTATGATTCTCAAAAAAACAAAAATTCTGCCATTTGATAGCCAGAAGATAAACGCCTAAAGTAAATTCTAAATTGATTCCTAAATCATGTAAATTATAGTCAACTTGAAACTTCTGGCTTATTTTTTTTCTTCAAAATAAAAAGTAGCATGGTTGATTCCTTAAGAATTTGCAAATATTGAACACTAAATCTGTTTATACTAAAATATATGAAAAGTTTTTCTTGTGAATAAAGTTTCACTCAAGGAGTTGTATCAACAAGATTAATACACAGATCGACAGACATTTTGATTTCTATTGTTTTAAAAGGTATAATATGCAAACATTACAACAGAGAATTTTCTATAGGGGCAATTGGTTCTGGATGTGGAGAACAATAGCATGATCTGAAAACTGGTCATGGTTAAACTATATTACAAATATCAAATTAAAAAATATCCTCAACCATGACAAAAAAAAGTATGAAAAACTGATTATTTGCATGAATTTCAGTCAGAGGCCCATAACTCTGCAAAAAAGATCTTCCAAACCGAACAAAATTCGAAAATTGATCTGTAACTTAACATGGTTAAACAATATAACAAATATCAAATCAATATCTTAATGCATAACAAACAAAAGTACGGGGAAAACTGATCATTTGGTTGAATTTTCAAAGTCTGAGGATCATAACTCTGCAAAAAAAATAAACCTAACTGAACAAAACTCGAACTTGATCTGTAACTTGTCATGATAAAACTATATACCAAATAGCAATAATATCTTCAAGCACCAAGAAAAAAGTGTGGAAAACTGATTTTCCAGACTGACGGATGGACGGACAGACCGACAGACTGAGTGCAAACCTAAAGTCCCCTTTGGCTGTGCCGGCAGGGAACTGTTGATATAGATTTGTGTATGTCGTAATGTCCTTTATGAATTTGAAAGTTTAACTTTCAGGTTCTCAACAATTAAAATTGTGTGAATAATACTGGATCCTTAGTTGTATCTGTAACTTCTTTTAAACCAGGAGATGAATTTTAAATGAAACATTTTTTCTTGGAATTGATTTTTGGAGTTTCCTTCACAAAATATGACATTTGCCATATAAGACAAACAGGTGTCTGGAGTATGAATTTGTGATCTCTGTTAAAAGCTTCAAATTTGACATTGATACATACTGATCCATCTTTCTCTATATGAGAATCTACAAAATCACTTTTTTGAGTTATTCTATCATCACTGCAAATATCCTTGGATACTTGAATTGAGCTTTCCCCACAGTTTTCTTTATCTTTTTGCTCTTCCTGAGTAATGGACTCATCCGCTTCTGTCTTGTTCTCTTCTGTTTTTTGTTTCTATAAAAAAAATCAATTCATTGATAAAAACATAAACTTTATATATTGTAATGCATAAAATTAATAACAATCATGATAATAGGCCTGGCATGAGCTTGTTGCTCACTTATTCCAGCAAGAGCATCCTGGGATTTTGAAATTGAACTCATAATTACGTAATGCATAAATGAACTAGAAATTTATAATTTGTTTAAGATAATCAGATATCATAAATACAAAACAAAGGGTAAAGTTGGTACTACCAATAGATGCTAGATACCCCAATTATGATTGTGGCTTAGTTTGTTCTAATTGGCCAAGTAGTTTCAGAGAAATTTTTTTAAAAGTTAACCATGAACGACAACGAGGGGCGATGGATGCCAAGTGATGATAATAGCTCACTTAAAAAATCAAAAGAAAGTCCGGTCTCACAAAAAATGTGAGTATAACGGTCCTAAAAAAAATGCTGGCCCAAACCCAGCCCCAAATCAAGAACTTAAAAGTTTGGATGTTGAAATTATTGTTTATTTGACCTCTAATTTATATTTCAAAGCCACTGATAAATATCCCCACAGGTAAATTACCTAAATTATAGTATATGTATTTGTTGCTTGTGATAACAGAACATAGTTTTTAAAATCATATACCTTGAAAACTTCTGATATTTTTGGTGAGTTTGCTGTAGAATCTGCTTTCCTTTTTCTTCCTCTTTTATGACCTTAAATAAAACTGTATGCTAGAAACACTGTTAGCATCATAATCATAAAGGGTAACATTGACAATCTTTTCCCCTAAAACCGACAAACCAAAATCAAGAATTACCTAGTAAGATATTTTTTTACAACTTAAGTATCTTATTGGTAAAAGTTTTAACAAGTGTTACCTTGACTACTTGGACTATCCTCAAAGTTTTTAGGTTTACTGCCTCTAGTACTTCTCCTTGGACCTGGTGATGAAACAGAACCATCAGTAGTTTCATTTATTTCAGCTTTATCTGTGTTTTCTGAACATGAAGACACTGGCGACAGGTGGGTTGACAAATCTTCAGGCTTGGAAGAATTGTTATTGTTAGTTCCATTAGTATCACTTTTAACCATCTAAATATATAAAAAAAAAGTCTATAATATTCATCTTAATGAATGAATAAAAGACATAAATTATTGGGTTAAGAATACATCAAAATATAACAATTTCTCTTAACTGATGAAATAATAAGTGGAATTTAATGCTGATCCTTTAGTCATGAAACTAAGGTTAAGGTAAGGCAGTCCAGTTAACTTTTTTATTTCTTTAGGTTAAAGCTAGATTACTCATAGTTTATAATACTTAGCTCTGTATGGAATTTTAATGTCAAACGAATGTTGATCAAAAATAAACAAACAGAAAATTTACTTATAAAAAGTAGGCAAACAGGGCTCACACTACTTCAAAATCATAGGGAGAAGTGACTTCTCTTTTTGAAATTGAGAGGGAGAAGTGGTGAGATTTGAAAGAGAAGTGCTTGTTCGCTCACAGCCCTACAATGTTTGGTTTTTACTATAATACATTAAGGGCCAGATATATCTTATTTTTTTTATATCGTTCAATTTGTACCTGGGTATACAATTAAAGTAACTGTTCAAATTTAAAGTTGTTTAATTTTATCATATCTAGTTGCACAATCATATGAGTCCTCTTTTCAGAAAAAAACAATTAAATATCTGGCACTAATAAAAAAGATTTTTTTTATATCAAAAAGGAAAAGAAAGTTGTTATATCAATTAAAAAACTACTCTGTTATCATGTTCATGAAACTGAGTATTTCTCACTAAAAAGTTATATAAATTTAACAGTTAAGCTTGGACACAATATAATTATATTAGTGTAATAGTCCCAGAGTTGAGCAACTTTAACTTATAAATTGAAACAATGCCTATGTTTCTTGTTTCTCGTTTTTTATATAGATTAGACCGTTGGTTTTCCCGTTTGAATGGTTTTACACTAGTAATTTTTTGAGGGCCCTTTATAGCTTACTGTTCGATGTGAGCCAAGGCTCCGTGTTGAAGACCGTACTGTGACCTATAATGGTTTACTTTTATAAATTTTGACTTGGATGGAGAGTTGTCTCATTGGCACTCATACCACATCTTCTTATATCTATATACAGTTAGAATGATTTGATGTACGAATTGAGTAACCTGTACCGGAAGTGATAAAAAATTGTTTTTATGAAATAACATCCCACCAACTTTGAAATCAATGCTATAACCTCTTTTCTGAAGAAAATAAATCGTTTATGCCTTGAATTTCTTTACTTTTAAATGAAAAATTGCTGTTTCATCGTCTTGGTAAAAATTGAATATTGCCGATGACGAAAGCGACTGAAAGCGAGTATCGTAAACCACAGGGCGACTTGTTTTCGCTTTTGAGGGTCGGGCAAAGCGAAGTGACGGACGGGAAAGCGATTTCTTCGCCCTAGTCGCCTGGTAGGGTGAGCCCTGGGGAAAAAAATCAAATTCTGACTAGGATGTTTAATTTCCAAGTGCATGATGTGTATGATGGCATCTGCTTTAAAAGATTAATTGTAAATCAAGTCTTAAGGCCACACCTGACCACATTAATGTCTTGTTCGTTGGAATTGCCACTCCAAATTTTCCAACTTTTTTTTTCACCCTGAAATATTTTTGACGGGCATGTTTCAGGATGTTAGTTTCACAAGAATATTTCTGGTGCAAATAGAATTGAGATTTTGAAAATGACTGCGTAGAAACAGGATTCAAAATATTGAGTTATATTGACAATGTTGATTTTATTTGGCAAAATTTAAAAGTGCTGAGACTAAACTCTATAATTTGTAAGCAAATAACAGATACAATTGGTGTGTTGTTTGTAAAAAATTCAGAGAAAACGAGACATTGTTGACAGTTCAATGAGGTTCAATGTCCAGTGTCAAACGGGAAGTGGGGAAACAGCGTCGTTTTTTGGCTTATGGAGTAATTATTTAATTATTCATTAAAATATGTTGTTCTTTGTTGAACATGTTCAATGGATTTTTTACCTTCATTTAAGTTACAATGCCATGTACTTCAAAGGTATTCCAAATAATTACGACGTCTTGAAAGGCTATTAATTTTTTTTTTTTTATTACGCCCTCGAAGGAAAATAATCTCCATGCCAGATTTTTTGCACAAATTTGATTCCTTCCCTTTTAAATCATTGGCTCAAACCACAAAAACTGGAAGTGATTATGATGGTATCTTAATATTGAAGGTATTCTATATAGCATGAGGACTATTTTAAAATCAAAGGTGTAGCCCATTGCTATAAATTTTAATTTCAATTTCAGACACACACAAAAAATTGCCTCCATCAGATTCATTGAAAAGATAAAAATTTTTTTTTAGATTCATTGAAAAGATAAAAAAAAAATATTGTGCTTGCCTCCAATTATTTTATTGTGCTCGCCTCCAACCTATTTTCATCTGAAAAAAAAACAATTATTTTGTTGGTATGGCCTTGATGGTCATTAATTAAAATCTGTAAGGTGCTAATTATATGTGGGTTGGTGTCAAACACAGAGGTGGATATGTGTCTAGACATTCAAAATGCAGAAACAGAGGAGCACAATCTTAAGCACCTGTCTACATGAGATTTTCAAAAAGCAATAGTAAATAATGTATTCTTATTATGTTATCACCTTAAACTTTCTTCAGATTTCTCTGGCCATTCACCTTTGGGAAAACATAAAAACAAACAAACTACAATCTATTGAAACCTATATTTCTTTAATAGTATGTTTGAAACTGTGAAATTAAAATCTGAATGGAAAGATTGGAGTCAAATTTTAATCAACGTGTTTGTAAGCCCTGAAGGTTAAAGATTGCTTAACTTCAATCTATCAGTGGGAAGTAATTAAATTAAACATTGCATTGTATAAAGCATTGGTTGTAGTTGATTCAACTACAGTTATGGACAAAGGAAGATAACATAAATTTTAAAGATTACTTTAACAATATTATGACATCATTGATATTTTTAGAACAGATTCCTGCACCTTGCACAAATTATGTAATTTTCTTGACAAGCAGGGGTGTGGAAATATTTTTGTGAGCACATGTCCATGGGCAAGGAAAATTTTACTTGTCTGGAAAAAAGTTACTTGCCCTGAATTTCCCATTAATATTGAAGTATTTTACTGTAAGCTTGTATGATTCTTAAAACTGTTTTGTATCACAATGTAAATGATGTTTGTGATATTTGTTTATGCATATGAATAAAAGGAGGTATGGAGTTAATGAGACAGAAACCCTACAGAAAAACAACCATTTAGCAATGTTTTTTAAAATGCTAGCCAGTAGGTACATGTGTACTAAGTTTTGAAACCAGTAGAGAAACGAAAACTAAATAGATCATTAAGTGTCCCTTCTAATATTAATTTGCCAACAAATAAGTTAAGACTTTTAATCATCAAGATGTGGGTGTCTCCTACAAACATGACAAATTGTGCACAAATTTAAATTATTTTCAGAAGTTTCTTCACTGGAGAGCCAGGGGAAATCTGTTAGGCATGACTTCAGGAATTCTTGTTTTCGTTTTTTTTTTTTTCATATTCCCTTCCTTTCTTCGCCTCCATTTTTTCGATTTATCTTGACTCATAATAATTATTGTCATTCTTTTTTTTTTGTCTTGATTACCCAGTGTAGGTTTTTTTATCAGATATTTATCGATCTTGATAGAACTCATTCAAGAAAAATTAAAATGACACTTCTATTAGATGGCGGATGGAACCTAATTGGCGATCCCGGGTTAATGGACAAAGATAACATAATGTTTATGAGACCAAGGTTCGCATACTTTTTTTTCTTATTCTGGCTATAAATCTATTTTCTGTTTTAATTAAAAATTCTCGCCATGAACATTGATGTTTTGACTTATATACATTTCATGTGTTGAACATTGATTTCTTTTATATAAACTAATAAATCTTAATAAGTTGCGAAAATAATTCTATATTTCTTATTAAATTGAATTTTGTCAAGTCTAATTTTTTACTTGTCCACAGGCAACCGAGACAAAAAAAATTACTTGCCCTGGTGTTCAAATGTACAAGTCAGACATAGCATTTCCACACCCCTGACAAGTATTACAACATTTTGTAACTTGAATATCTGAGCATATATTTCATTGACAAATTTCTGGAAATGTTCATCAATATAGGATGTATAGAATGTAATGATGAATGCACTATATTTTGTGTATCTCAAAAGAAGTGAAAAAGTTTGGAAAATTGATAACTATCAAGCCAGCCACAGAAGGGTTTTGATTGTTCATACAATCTTTACCCCAAAAACAGGGTTTTTACATTTTGACAAGAGAATCACATGATTTCATAACATTCTTTGAACAAATTTAAAAGCAATGAACTATAGTGCTGTATACCACACTTGAACAATTAAATATGTTATTTTTAACTCTGAAATACAGATATTCAAATGTAATTCTGGTAAAGAGAAAAGATTCACACCTAAATTTAAGTAAAAACTAAGCACTATTAAAAAAAACATGGGTGGGCATTTTATAGTCGTCTATACGGTATGGGTTTTTCCCATTGTTGAAGGCCGTACTGTTACTTATAATTGCTTACATCCACTTCATTTGAACTTTGGATAATTGTCTCCTTGGCAATCATAACACATCTCCTCATTTTTATTTTCGTTACACACTGAAATATACTATTGGAAATTCTTTGTAATCCACAAACAGAAAAAAAAATAAACAATGTATCCCCTTTCCATAGAAGAAAGACAACAAATCAATATGAGGCTGAGCCAATATTTATCTTTAGATATTCAAACCTGTTTTTTCTGTAAATCTTCATTTTGTTTTTTCTTGATTCTTTCTGTCTTTCTGGTTTGTTCTTCCCTCTGCTTTTCCATCCTTGAGAGTAAATACTGTGTGTACATATTACTCTTACTCAGTAGAAACTGTAATCTTTTATATCTTTGTTCTCGGTCCTCAGCATTCAAGTCCTGCCAAGTCTGTAAAAAACATTAAAGTATCATTACAAATGTCCTCTCCTTCATTTTACTTTCTCTTAAAACTTATTAATTTTAAAATATTGTAAGAGTAAATTTATTGAAAATAAGAGTTTGAATCACTCACCTAAGAAATATATTTGATAAAATTTATTTTAACTTTTATGTAATAGGTTATGTATTTAAACTACTTTAAATTACTTGAATAATGACATTGGTATTTTTAGAAATTACATTTAGTTGAGACAAAGTCAAGTTAGAGAACAGAATCGAAAAATTCAGCAATTTTTTCATTTTTAAAGGGGCATAACCCTAGAACGGTAATCAAAGTGCTTGTAAGCACTGAATGGTAAAGATTGCTTTAATTTATCAGTAGGAAGTAAAATTGAATATTGCATTGTATAAAGCATTGGTTGTAGTTGATTCAACTACCATTATGCACAAAGAAAGATAACTCCAATTTTCAAAGAAGACTTTAAAATATTTTTAGAAATAAAGGGTAACAAGAGTGCACACGCTGAAATGTCTCGCCTTCTTTACTAATCATTGATATTATGTTGATAGTCCTAAATATAAAGCTTTATTACAACTGTCACATAAACTTAACATTAACCAAGTAAACTAAACATTGACCAATGAACCATGAAAATGAGGTCAAGGTCAGATGAACCATGCTAGGCAGGCATGTACAGCTAACAATTCTTCCATACAACAAATATAGTTGACCTATTGCTTATAGTTTACGAAAAACAGACCAAAACACAAAACTTAACACTGATCAATGAACCTTGAAAATGAGGTCAAGGTCAAATAAAACCTGCGTGACTGACATATAGATCATAAAATATTTCCATACACCAAATATAGTTGAACTATTGCATATAGTATAAGAAAAAAAGACCAAAACTCAAAAACTTAACTTTGACCACTGAACCATGAAAATGAGGTCAAGGTCAGATGACACCTGCCAGCTAGACATGTACACCTTACAATCATTCCATACACCAAATATAGTAGACCTATTGCATACAGTATAAGAAAAACAGACCAAAACACAAAAACTTAACTATAACCACTGAACCATGAAAATGAGGTCAAGGTCAGATGACACCTGCCAGTTGGACATGTACACCTTACAGTCCTTCCATACACTGAATATACTAGACCTTTTGCTTATAGTATCTGAGATATGGACTTGACCACCAAAACTTAACCTTGTTCACTGATCCATGAAATGAGGTCGAGGTCAAGTGAAAACTGTCTGACGGGCATGAGGACCTTGCAAGGTACACACATACCAAATATAGTTATCCTATTACTTACAATAAGAGAGAATTTAACATTACAAAAAATCTTAACTTTTTTTTCAAGTAGTCACTGAACCATGAAAATGAGGTCAACGACATTGGACATGGGACTGACGGAAACTTCGTAACATGAGGCATCCATATACAAAGTATGAAGCATCCAGGTCTTCCACAAAATTAAACATTGCATTGTATAAAGCATTGATTGTAGTTGATTCAACTATAATCATGGACAAAGGAAGATAACTCTAATTTTAAAAATGACTTGATATTTAGAAAAAAAAAAAGAAAAATTTAACAATTTTTCCATTTGTAAAGGGCATAACTCTAGAACAGTAAAAGTGACGGCAAAAATTCAAGCTTGATTTTTCCATTTGTAAAGGAGCATAACTCTAGAACGGTAAAAGTGACGCCCCCAAAATACAAACTTGATCTGTATTTAGTGGTAATAAGCATTGTGTATAAGTTTCATAACATTTGGTTGAGGCAAACTAAAGTTAGAAAATAGAAACCAACTTTGGCACGTACGTACGGACGGACGGACGTACAGACGGACAAGGGTAAAACTTAATGCCCCCTCCGCTACGGCGGGGGCATAAAAATCAACTATTACAACCATGTATTGAGACAGTGAAATTGCTCTCATAGACAGACAGATGAAAATATATTATAATAACCAATGTTTACTAGTCTGGGGTACCTATACCACACCAACAAATGACCTTTCACATACCAACCTTGTCATGTTCTTGACGTAATTTTTCTTCTTCCTTTTCTCCCTCTTTTTCTAATTCTTCCTCTTCTTGTACCATCTCCTTGGTAATAACAACTTCCTGTTTTGCAGGATTTCCATCTGGTTCCTGTCAAGTACATTGTTATCAAATTTTTAAAAAATTATAAAGGGACATAACTGAAGAATGCATGGTAAAAGTGACGCTACCCAAATTTGTACTTGATCTATGTTTTGTGGTAATTAGTATTGTGTATAAGTCTCATAACATTTGGTTGAGGCTAACTTAAGTTAGAGATCACAAATGAAAAATTCACCAAATTTTCCTTTTGTAAACAGGCATAACTCTAGAACGGTTAAAGTGACACCACCAAAATTCAAACTTGATCTGTATTTTGTGGTAATAAGCATTGTGTATAAGTTTCATAACATTTGGTTGAGGCAAACTTAAGTTAGAGAACGGAAACAAAAAATTCAGCAATTTTTCCATTTGTTAAGGGGCATAACTCTAGAAAGTTTATAATGACACTACCAAAATTCAAACTTGATCTGTATTTTGTGGTAATAAGCATTGTGTACAAGTTTCATAACATTTGGTTAAGGCAAACTAAAGTTAGAGAACAGAAACGAATAATTCAGCAATTTTTCCATTTGTTAAGGGGCATAACTCTAAAACGGTTACAGTGACGCCACCAAAATTCAAACCTGATCTGTGTTTTGTGGTAATAAGCATTGTGTATAAATTTCATAACATTTGGTTGAGGCAAACTAAAGTTAGAGAACAGAAACCAACTTTGGGACGTACGTATAGACGGACAAGGGTAAAACTTAATACCCCCTCCACTAAGACGGGGGCATAAAAATGCTTTTAGTTTAAGCATATTTTATTTGCTTCAATATGCAAAAGACACAAGTTAATCAAACTTATATTCTTCTGTAAATGATCAAGTTCCCCCTCCCTCCACCATATCAATGAAAAAATATTTGTCCAAAATCAAAGTGCTTTTGAGCACTGTATGGTAAAGACAGCACTCATATTGCAGTGGGAACTAAAAATGAAACATTGCATTCTATTAGGTATTGGAAGATAATACTATGAATCAGAGATATCTTTCTTTGTCTATAATTGTAGTTTGTTCATTGATTAGATTCATGCACCATGACCTATTCATGTAATTTTCTTGAAACTATGGTAAGGCCAACTAAAATTAATTAGATTTTCATACAGATTTTTTTTTAAAATGGGACGGGTGTGAGGATTTTATTTTTTAGTTTTTATTTCCTCCTAAACCCTTTTGTGACGTATTGTTCATATGCAAGGATAAACATAGGCTAAAATAATGTATATATAAGGAATTCTACTTTTTTTCAAATTCTTAAATAAATATTTCTGATTGGCAACCACTGTTTTACATGTAATTGCAGCTTTAGAAATCTATTCTTAGTACATATAAAAAAAGTGGAGAAATGCTCTTTTAGACCACCAACATCAAATTTATTTTGCTTTCTACATGTTCTAAGCTATGGTTTGTAGCGCCCATAAAATGAAGCATATGCATTGGTATGCAACACAAGTATTATGAGTACAGAGTGAAATGAAAACTGAAACTGTGTAGAAAATACTAGGGTTGATGCTTTTAAGATTCTTATGCAAGGTGCAAATATAATTACAATGTAAAACATGAACTTGACCAAAAAAGAAGAAGTTGTTTAATGACTCTATTGAGGGGCTGGTGACAGAGGGTGTTTGCTGTTTGTCAACATAAAAATGACAGTCTTGGGTAAATCTAGGGCTTGCTTTAATACATTTTGTACATTGGTCGACTTTTTGTACTCAATATACGGTCATAAATCACACAAGTTCGTTCTTGTGTCAATTACTTTATTCCAGTCATGTTTTTGTACCAATGTGTTTCACGATTCTTGGGCTTTTGATATCATTCACAGTCCAAATTTCCTGACACAACCCGAATATTTTATGCCCTTCTCGTAATCAATGTCTATTCTCGGAAGATAATGTTGTCATCATAGAGTAGCAGAATATGTCGACTTAATCATTTTGGTTATAATACTCCCAAGAAATACTAAAACCGAAATTTGAAACAGGAAGTTTTGAATGAAACGAAATTATGGGGGGTTACCGGTAACGGAAATGAACAAAATCAAGAAATCGTAAATTTTCAAAAATAAAAATAAAATGCTTCGCTGGGGCGCAGCTTGATACGACCGCAGAGGTCGAACCCTGAACAGTTGGGGCAAGTATGGACACAACATTCAAGCTTGATACAGCTCTGAATTTGGATTGTTATTAAATATTTGACACAGCATAGGTTTCTGACACAGAAAGAATGTGGTCTAAGAACTTGAATTTTTTTAATTTACCTATTATGGTCCAATGTCCAAAATCAAAATACATGGTTAGATTCAGCATATCAAAGAACCCCATATATTCAATTTTTGTTAAAATCAAACAAAGTTTAATTTTGGACCCCAACTTGGACAAACTTGAAAACTGGGCCCATAATCAAAAATCTAAACACATGTTTAGATTCAGCATATCAAAGAAAACCCAAGAATTCAATTTTTGCTAAAATCAAACTAAGTTTAATTTTGGACCCTTTGGACCTTAATGTAGACCAATTTAAAAAACGGGACTTAAAATTAAAAATCTAAATACACGGTTAGATTTGGAATATCAAAGAACCCCAATAATTCAATTTTTGATGAAATCAAACAAAGTTTAATTTTGGACCCTTTTGACCTCAATATGAACCAATTTGATAGTGGGGCCCACAAATAAAAAATCTAAATTCATGGTTAGATTCAGCATATCAAAGAACCCCATATATTCAATTTTTGTTGAAATCAAAAAAAGTTTAATTTTGGACCCCAACTTGGACCAACTTGAAAACTGGGCCCATAATCAAAAATCTAAACACATGTTTAGATTCAGCATATCAAAGAACCCCAAGAATTCAATTTTTGTTAAAATCAAACTAAGTTTAATTTTGGACCCTTTGGACCTCAATGAAGACCAATTTAAAAAACGGGACCCAAATTAAAAATCTAAAAACACGGTTAGATTTGGCATATCAAAGAACCCCAATAATTCAATTTTTGATGAAATCAAACAAAGTTTAATTTTGGACCCTTTTGACCTCAATATGAACCAATTTGATAGCGGGGCCTACAAATAAAAAATCTAAATACATGGTTAGATTCAGCATATCAAAGAACCTCATATATTCAATTTTTGTTGAAATCAAACAAAGTTTAATTTTGGACCCCAATTTGAACCAACTTGAAAACTGGGCCCATAATCAAAAATCTAAATACATGTTTAGATTCAGCATATCAAAGAACCCCATATATTCAATTTTTGTTGAAATCAAACAAAGTTTAAATACTGGACCCTATCTTGGACCAACTTGAAAACTGGGCCCATAATCAAAAATCTAAACACATGTTTAGATTCAGCAAATCAAAGAACCCCAAGAATTCAATTTTTGTCAAAATCAAACTAAGTTTAATTTTGGATCCTTTGGACCTCAATGTAGACCAATTTAAAAAACAGGACCCAAAATTAAAAACCTAAATACACGGTTAGATTTGGAATATCAAAGAACCCCAATAATTCAATTTTAGATGAAATCAAACAAAGTTTAATTTTGGACCCTTTTGACCTCAATATGAACCAATTAGATAACGGGGTCCACAAATAAAAAATCTAAATACATGGTTAGATTCAGCATATCAAAGAACCCCATATATTCAATTTTTGTTGAAATCAAACAAAGTTTAATTTTGGACCCCAATTTGGACCAACTTGAAAACTGGGCCAAAAATCAAAAATCTAAATACATGTTTAGATTCAGCATATCAAAGAACCTCATATATTCAATTTTTGCTAAAATCAAACAAAGTTTAATTTTGGACCCTTTGGACATTAATGTAGACCAATTTGAAAACTGGACCCAAAATTAAAAATCTAAATACACTGTTAGATTCGGCATAACAAATAAATAAATGTGATCAAAGATTTTACAAATCTAATGCGCCATACTGTGCAATTAAAGATTACTTCTTGAAATTTTTCAATATTTGAAATTTGAAAAAAAAATAATATTTTAAGAATAATTCTTTTTAATTTCTGAAATCTGAAATGAGAAAAAATTGGCCCCCAACAATTTCTTTTTATCCCCCCCCCCCCCCCTTTTCCCCCCAAAAAAATTCTTTCCCTCAAGATATGGTCATAATCTCAATTCAAATTTCCAATGGAGTTGGCAACCATAATTACCCATTTAAATTTACCATAGTGCTAACTTAATCTATTTTATAATAGAATTAATAAAAATATAGTGTCAAATCTTTCATATGGATTTTTTTGTAAAAAAAAAAGATGAAAACATTTGCAGATATTTTTACTGGTCTTCCTTTATAAATATGCATTTCTTTAAACATAATTTAAAAGCAGTGTAAGGGAAGTAACCAAAACGTTGTATTTGGATTACCTCCCTTACACTGTTTTAGATTATCTTTATTGTTCATTAACCATTACTTTATACATAATTTAAAAGCAGTGTAAGGGAGATAATTTCAATGATGTATTTGATTTATCTCCCTTACACTGCTTTAAATTATGTTTTGTACTAAAGTATTTGTCCATTAACCAGGACAACCTTGTTTTCCCCCCTTTTTTGCCCCTAATTCCTAAACGGTTTGAGCCATAACCCCCCAAAGCAAATCCTAACCATCCCTTTGTGGTATGGAAACTTGTAGTATAATTTCAGAGAGATCCATACACCGTTCCACAGTTATTGTCTGGAAACTAGAAAATGCTCATTTTTGGCCCCTTTTTGGCCCCTAATTCCTTAACTGTTGGTACCATAACCCCCAAAATCAATCCCAACCTTCCTTTTGTGGTATTTAACCTTATGGTCAAATTTCAAAAAGATCCATTCACTTAAACTAAAGTTAGAGTGCGAAAACCAATATGTATTCGGACGACGACGCCGGACGACGACGACGACGACGACGCCAACGTCATACCAATATACGACCACAAAATTTTTTTGCGGTCGTATAAAAATTGGGAGGAACGATTTCAGAGGGGCAGGCGGGGATGAAAATCTATCAATTAATTTTAATTTGCCTTAGAATAAAAAAAAGAAGATATTGTATGATTGCCAATGAGACAACTCTTCACAGTATTTTCCTGTTTTTATAATTTAAGTCTACGAATAAAGGACATGTAAGCAATCTGCCAAAATATAATAGTTATATAATTATATTCAAGCATATCTCTCCAACCCATGCTGTCATCAATGGATTTTGATTTTCAAAGTAATATATTTGCCACTTCAAAATGCTGTGATGTGATGATTCAATTTTTTTTAATTACAATGTATCCTTTATTATTCTTTTACACATGTACTGTTGTACAAACATTCAATTCTAGAGTACCTGAGACTGTGTTATTTTATACAGACAACATTTGCAAAACTATTAACATGACAGAAATAGACAGAGACTCTAGAATCAGTATGACTACTCTGATAAAATGGTAATGTGACGCTTCCAAAATGTTCCATTAATGTCAAAGACATGTCAGAATGGATTGAGAAACAAGGAATTGTCAATAAGCAAAGTTCATCCATGCTTTTGCATGAAAAATTTTCTCTTGTTTCGGACAAACAAAATAACCATATTTTCATGTTTAAACCAGTGTTTCTTAATGTAAATCCTATGTTTGAATAAACTGCTTCGCTGAGCGCAGCTGGATACACCCGCAGAGGTCCAACCCTGAACAGTTGGGGCAAAAATGGACACAATATTCAAGCTTGATACAGGTCTGAATTTGGATTGTAATTAAATATTTGACATATTATTGGTTTCTGAATAAATGTAGTCAAAGAACTTGAAATTGATTATATGAATTGAATTTATATTCAATTAAAAGATTTCTTGCTGTTGTGCAATACACTGTGCTGTTGCGAAATACTTAGTAAATCTGTTGTCAGACTATAAACAAATAAAGTTCAATTTCTTCTCAATGTCATATTTGAAATTTATGAAAATCAATAGGGAGATTACATCAATAGCTATAAATAATTCATCAAAGTTTCATGAGAACTGCTGAAAGCATTTTTGAGTTATTGTCCCAAAACTGGAAAATCACCCCTTTTTTAATGAATAAATCCCCATAACTCAGAAATGTAAAATCTAAAATTTATAAAATTCTAAAGGGACCTTACATCATTAGATATAAAGAATTCACCAAAGTTTCATGAGAACTGCTGAAAGCATTTTTGTTATTGTCCGAAAACTGGGAAATCACCCTTTTTTTATGAATAAAAGTCCTGTAACTCAGAAACATAAAATCTAAAATTTATAAAAATTAAAAGGGAGCTCATGTCAATAGATATAAACAATTCACCAAAATTTCTTGCAAGTTGGTGAAAGCATTCTTGAGTTATTGTCGGAAAACTGGAAAATCCCCCCTTTTTTAATAAATAAAACCCCAAAACTCAGAAACAGTAAATCTGAAATTTATAAAAAACGAAAGGGAGCTCACATCAATAGATATAAACAATTCACCAAAGTTTCATGCATATTGGTTAAAGCTTTTTTGAGTTAATGTCCGACATGTTGACAACGGACGGACAGACGGTCAACGGTATACCATAATACGTCCCGTAAACGGGCGTATAAAAATCCACAGTATCTGCTTTTTTTTTTAAATATTGCAACTCCGAAACTGATGTTGAAGGGCAGACTAACCACCTATTTTGGGCTGACACCAATAGATAAAACTTTCACAAATTTTACCTGGTTAAGTTCTTGTCCTAATTTTTCTTCTTTCCTTCCTCCATCTTTTTCTAATTCTTTATCTCTGATCTCTTTGGTAGTAATAACTTCCTGTTTCACAAGATCCCCATCTGGTTCCTGTCAAATATATGTCATGTATGTCTAGTTTTAAAGAGCCCTAAGTCGTTTTCCGAAAAAAAAAGAGTAAAATTGAGAATGGAAATGGGGAATGTGTCAAAGAGACAACAACCCGACCATAGAACAGACAACAGCAGAAGGTCACCAACAGGTCTTCAATGCAGCGAGAAATTCCCGCACCCGGAGGCGTCCTTCAGCTGGCCCCTAAACAAATATATATACTAGTTCAGTGATAAAGTAGCCTTAAATATCATAAATATGATTGCATGTTAAAGCCTCTACATTTGTACAACATGTACAAAGGTGATGTCCAACATATTCAATTTTTCAAGAACAAAAAATCATTTTAGGGTTTTCTTTTGGTGAAAGCAGTACTAGTCTTATCTTAAAGCTCATCCAATATTTTCAATTTTTTCAAACTTTTGATATGTCATTACACATACACATTTTTGTAGTTACGAGTTTATCGTGGAAACATGATGATGAGGTATTCACATATATCATGTATGTACTAAACAGTAATTTCCATAATTTGGTAAGATATATTAAATGTCTAGGACATTTGTCTCCTAGCTTGAAACTTGAGATTCTGGTAAATGATAGTAGGCCAATTAATGAAGTATCTTTGAATCATATATTGATTTACCAACAAAGAGGTTTTTTTCTGTAAAAGATCTCTATTTTAAAATGTATTGGTCGTGGAAACGAAAAAAGTTGCTGATTCCCAGCTGACCATGTATAGTACTAGTCCAAATAATTATGGTCTTGTAAGGCCATTTCATTTTTTTACCTACATGTATGACACCTTGCTATTACATACCTGCCTGTGTTTTTTTAGACTAGCCTCATACATTGTACATGAAATTTCAACAAAATTATTTGTCAGCTGTTTTTTACTTGTCAATTTTTATTTAAAGAATAGCATTAGCAAGAAATCTGTCCTTAATTCCCTGTGACCCTATAGCTACCGAATAGTACTGTGATGATTTTGTATCTTAGATTAGATAGTTTACATTTAATTTGTATATATAAATAAGTTACATTTCTTTCTCATTATCTGTTGTGTTTATCTGCTCCATTATGACAGAGGTAGTGGGCAGTGTGATAAACTTGTAGGTTGCTGACCTTGATTGTGTCCACCCTATGCTAATTTGTTTTGCTTAATCACAAAGACTAGAATAAAACAACATAAATACTCTTCAAATCTTGTGAAAAGGAATATAAACATGTCTACTTACATCCATACTTGATCTCTCTTTTTGATCTAGAATAAACAACATACTTGTAAATATTTGATATAAATAATAAACTAGATATGGACAATGCCCCCCCTTTTCTGCTCTGCCATATGCATGAGTATATTTCCACATATTTTAGATTTGACAAACAGTGATGTTGGCATACAACTTGAAATTGTTATGCTGTCTGTACGACACAAATGATGCCCCCACCTGACCATAGGAAATTATAAATTTAACACTATGTATGATGATGTAACTGTAGGCGGAGATAGCCAGACAAACCATGATCTCTTTATGCAGCTAGTACAAAAAAAATGAGTAAGTCCAACTACCTGTCATTTTAAGAATATTTGAAAAAATCAAAATCCTATGGCCATGCACATCTTCATTATGTGTATGAACATTCTACAAAATATTCAAGTTGTACCTCCAAAACTGTAGGAGGAGATAGCCTGACAAACAATGTATCCTAATCCGGACGGACGGGCGAACGGACTGAAAGACGGATGGACAGGGGTAAATTAATATGCCCCCCGACACTTTGTTGCGGGGGCATAACAACATACTTGAACATATTTGACTAACATATGATTTACATGTATATACAAATGTAACTGCTGTAGGGGACTGTGCTGTTAGAATCAATGTTATACATATATAATAGGCGAGTAGGATTTTAATTGGAAAGTTACACATTGCATTCACCACCTTCAGGAATTGAACTGGACCCTTTGTGCTCAAAGTCAGTGTTCGACCTTAAGAAGTACTTTTCTAAATTAACCAATTACCAAAGGCTTAGTATCTCAAGGGAATCCTAATAATATTCCCCAACTCGCATGTCATCATACCATAAAGACTCTTCACAACGCAAACCATGGTTGGTTCCAATCAAAACAGGGTGGGTGTTTTCAAAGAACTATATTTTACAGTGGAACCTCTTAGTATTGAACTCTGTTGTGTCAAAAACTCAGATCGAGTCTCATTAATTGCTTGGTCCCGGGAAAATTCCTGTTTAATCAATGCATTCTAACCTCTGATGAGTCCAACTTGGTTGATTCAAATTCTCAGTTAAGTAATCAATGTAAATCAACCCAGATGTCTTGAAGTTCCAAAGAAATTCAAATCGGATGTTTTTCTCTGTACCCTAATTATTTTTATAAGTGTAACACTTGTTTGTATAACAATTAAAATGACATGTTTATGGTGACCGGTCATTTAACACCTTTGTTGATCTTCCAAGTGGAAATTTAGTGTGATGACCATCATCAGTGAGCTTTCAGGACTTGTTTCATTCCGCGAGCGATTCCATAATTTATAATGACTGACCTTTGTAATCATTTATGTATTGATTTTATTTGTGAATGTTTTGGATCCCTTATTGTGTTATTATTATGATGGACCAAAAAATATATATCTTGACTACACAATCATTAATTGTAGAAGGTCCTATAACAACAACACTTTAAGGAATGTTCCAGTAATTTATTGAGATCGACATGTTTCGGTGGCTAGGCCATCGTCATCAGGATAGAAAAAACAATACATAAAATCATGTTGATGTACAAAATCATGTTGAAAAATTTTAAAACGTCACAATGTTGCTATGGTGAGTAACGTTATAAATAGCAATTGAAAGAGAAAGTGAAAGTAAGTATGTACAATGTATGGAAGTAAACTATTAAAATAAAATAAAATAAAATAAAATAAAATAAAATAAAATAAAATAAAATAAAATAAAATAAAATAAAATAAAATAAAATAAAATAAAATAAAATAAAATAAAATAAAATAAAAATACAATGTTTTTGTTGTTAAAATTATTCTGCCATCATGTGTTAGCACTCTTGCACAGTGGAACGAATTATACAATAAATTATTGTCAGTTGTGTTCTGTGTAAACTTTGTGTTCAATTAACTTCTTTATTTCCAAATATAGACGACATTTTACTAGCAATTCCGTACCATTTCGACTGGCTTCCCTTGGCCAGAGGTACTGCTTACAATCGTGTCGGGAATGCTGTAAAGTGTTTGTCCGCCGCAGGTATAGGGAAAATTAAATAAAATATCACTAGTCTATGCTGAAGGTAAATGCTATGTTCCTTCATTAAACTATCCGAAGTGGCTGGTAATCTGGTAAAGTTGGTAGTATGTTTGATTAACATAGTTTCTGGAACTTCAAAGTGAATTTCATAATAAGAAGTCTGGTGCTTATAATTGCAAATAAATTCTGTAAGAGAAAAATAATCTTATCACAGTTCTTTTCCTCCTTTGGACTCGTTTATGTTTGAGATGGTTCATCATAATTTACTTTCTTTGCACCTGTTGAATGCCTGATAGCATTTAAGGAAGGCCGGTCCCTGTTGGTGCCTCAATGATATAATTGTTTGTTTTACTGCGTGCGGATGGCTAACATGATTAGCGCAGATTGCAACGGTGGTTCCTCGAAGGATGCAGGGGTTCACAATAAAAATTAAAAAAATTAAACACAAGTGAACCAATGCCTGGTAAATCTTCTGTCAGTAGATTCCATAAATTGGATACCTCAGGTATGCAGGGTTGTTACGATAAAAACATAAAATGTAGAAGGTCCTATAACAACAACACTTTAAGGAATGCTCCAGTAATTTATTGAGATCGACATGTTTCGGTGGCTAGGCCACCATCATCAGGATAGAAAACAATACATAAAATCATGCTGATGTACAAAATTGGGTTGAAAAAATTAAAACGTCACAATGTTGCTATGGTGAATAACGTTATAAATAGCAATTGAAAGAGAAAATCATTAATTGTCATATCAAAAATGACAGAGTTCAAAATATCTAGTTTAAACAAATCTCATACCATATTTCATGCATTCCAAATTTATTAATATGGAGGACCAATCGAGTGTAGGTAGACGAAATAATTACGGTTGACATACTTGGGTAAGCCTGCTACGGATGATTCCTACAACAAAGGTAGGCGTGTTCTACACCATTGTGTAGATAAATCAATTTAGATTTACGGCATAACAAGTTTTAGTGGGGTTGACAACCGAGAAATCGGCAAATAATGGAATTTTGTGACCGGGTGAAAAAATGCGAGTTAAGTACCTTGTGTTATATTAAGGTACAAAACTACTTCTACCGTTTTTTATTGGGAAAAATGCATATTTTTTTATTGAAATTGGGAAATTTGTATATTTTATTCTAAACACATCTCCGATTTTTTGCTGACCTTTGCTGTCTTTTTTGCACTGTTGTTTTCATGTATATTTTGGTTGTCAGACATTTTCAACCTGAAAGGTACTTTTCAAAGAGGGGAAAGAAACAGAAGCAATGATGGTACTTAATGCATTGAAAACCACATGTGTTACAAACACCATAATGATTCTGATCAGAAAACCGGATCTCAAAAGTGCTTTCTAATATCAAAATAATAACATGAATACGATATTTACTAACCCGAATAATTCAGTCCCTCCCCGTGATCGACTCTCCCACTCGTTAATGTAGCCATCGTAGAGCAGTGGAATATAGCGACTGAATTATTCGGTTTAGATATTTACAAACATTACTACCAATGCCATCACTGTTTGGGGAACATGTAAAACTTTTTGGGAGGAATTTTAAGCTATTTTTTTAGTAATTGGGAATTTTCTCTAGGGGAACAAGCCGAATTTCGGCTGTAATCTGAGGCAAACATTGAAACAATATCACTGAGGTATATAGGAAATTTTTTTCTGAGACAAGTGCCTGTAGGAGTTTCCCTTATTTTGACACACATCACATGAAATCTTAAGGGTGAAACCATACATAAAGAAGATTTCATGAAATAAAAGTATGTCATGAATTTGTTCAAACAATATTATCCGATTATTGGTTTTATGAGATTACCAAAGTGAAGCCAAAATTCTTGGGTCATGTGGGTGCGTGGATACACCAGAATGCACCGTATATGTATATCTGTATCGTTACATCGAAGGTACCTGATATATGATATATGATCAGGGATCTATTCTACAATACCCAGGAAACACACGACGTCCTTGCGACGTTATGTATTGGTCGCTGGAAGGTCATGACTGACATTACATTAGTACGACGTTGTTGCAACGTTGTGATAATGTAATTTTATGTCACGTCAAATGCGACGTAGAAGAGAACGTTGTTATTGTTTTTAATAATGTCCATCTTACGTTGTTGCAATGTCATATTGCGACGCATCTGTCACGTATCTGTAACGTTATAGCAACGTCGTCATATTTTTGGTCGATAAAATATTAAGTTGATTTTTACGCTGTTATAAAAGAGGAACTATGTTTTTGTCGTCAATATTACATTGCAATAATAAAAAAATAAGAAATAAATAACTGCAATATGTACTGTATCTGATCAAATAAATTATGTAATTAAAACGTTGTTGCAACGTAATTATCCACATTCCTAAAATTTACAATAGCAAAATTTCTTCTGTTTTTTTTTTCTTTTGTTGTACTCAATTTAAATTTCACTTTTTTTGTGTTCTTTTATTGAACTATTGAACAATATTGATTAGTTTTAAATCTATATATATATATATATAAGTGCATCTGTTTTGAATTTTGACCCAGATAATGGGTCGGACTGTGTCGCGATTGTGTATGAAATTTTAGCGCCATTCAGCAAGCCACGTCTCTTTCGAACTGCACTCAGATTCAATGTAATTAAATTTATCTTTGTATTGTTTCACTGTTGTTTTTTTTCTCACTTTTTAGAAAGTTTCTATTATATAGGAACAGAATAATATATATACTACACGATAAACATTTATCTACTATCGTATATAAATGAACAATAAACAATTCAAAACTGAACCAATCTTAAATGTATCTGACCTACATATATATATATATATATATATATCGCACCACTGTTCTGGTTTTACACGTGCATGATGTAATATCTAAAACCGTTTTAGAAAATAGGAATTTAATTGTGTTTTACATATATATATCTTGCTTTATATTATAATTTTATTAGTGTAACACTCAACATGTATTCATTAACTTTTGTAAATTTCGTCTGCAGAAACCTTACACACGTGCAGCTAATTTGATTCTAATTGAGGTCAGGATAGCAAGCTATCACAGTGTTATTTATTTGCCAGATCCTTTATAACATGTATAAACAGACACAGTGTATTTACAAGATAGTTTGTCTTATGCATATTGAACTCTTAAAGAACTGATAACAATTTAGAATGAAGGAATACAAAACATAAATGTTCCCTTCAGAGACTTTATGAAACTGATAATCAGTCAAGGGTCTAACTTAAATAAGTTATTAGAGAAAAATAACATACATGTCGTTATTGCAGTGTATTGTGGACTAAAATATCAAATAAACTGCTTCGCCTAGCGCAGCTGGATATGCCCGCTGAGGTCCAACCCTGAACAGTTGGGGCAAAAATGGACATAATATTCAAGCTTGATACAGGTCTGAATTTGGATTGTAATTAAATATTTGACATATTATAGGTTTCTGAATAAATGTAGTCAAAGAACTTGAAATTGGTTACATGAATTGAATTTATATTCAATTAAAGATTTCTTGCTGTTGTGCAATACACTGTGCTGTTGTGCAATACTTAGTAAATCTGTTGTCAGACTATAAACAAACAATAACTTCTCAATCACTCAGTTATATCAGAAATTTATAAAAAAAACTAAAGGAAGGTTATCTTAATAGGTATAAATCAGTCATCAAAGTTAAATGAAAACTGCTCTAAGCACTTTAAGGATATTGTCCAAAAACTTGAAAATCAACCCTTTTTTTATGAATAAATCTTATAACTCGGAAACGTAAAATCTTAAATTTATAAAAATCAAAAGGGAGCTTACAACAATAGATATAAACAATTTACCAAAGTTTCATAAAAAATTTTTTAGTTATTGTCCGAAAACTGGAAAATCCCCCTTATTGTAATGAATAAAACCCCATAAATTGGAAACGTATAGTCTAAAATTTAAAAAAATCAAAAGGGAGCTCATGTCGATAGAAATAAACAATTCACCAAAGTTTCTTGCAAATTGGTGAAATTGTTTTTGAGTTATTGTTCAAAAACTGGAAAATCCCCCCTATTTTAATGAATAAAACCCCATAACTTGGAAATGTAAAATCTAAAATTTATAAAATTCTAAAGGGAGCTTACATCAATAGATATAAACAATTCACCAAAGTTTCATGCATATTGGTTAAAGCATTTTTGAGTTAATGTCCGACAGATAGACAGACGGACGGACAGATATAACAGTTTATAATTTGCCAATCATGTATAGTACACCTATGTTATTACAGATAATATATGCCTGTAATATCTAACGGGTGTTATCACAGCTTTTCTACATCTCTTCAAAGCCATTTCTCAGACATATATCACATTGTATTTTAATTCATTTTAAGAAATAATGATCAGAGCATGTAATGAGGTTCTGAGCAAGCTTCCCAGTAATTCCCAAGTGTCTCATTTTATAAGTTACATGCCTGTAAAAACTAAACCTTGTTATTACAGCTTAGTGTATCCCTTAAAAGCCTTGTCTCATTGATTTACCATGGTTGATCAAAAATGTATTAAATGAATTGGAAAATTAATTATCAAAGTTATGCATTAAGTTTCTGCGCAAAGTTTCAAGAAATCCCAAGAGCCCACTAAAAATAAAAATATATTTTGATATATTAACTTATAACAAACATATGTTACTACAGATTAAGAAATAAAGAGCAGACAACTCATGAAAGTATCTGTAATAACACATGTATGTTATTTTTCTCTAATAATTTATTTAAGTTAGACCCTTGACTGATAATAGCAACCTGACTTTTTTTTTTACTAAAATCAACATTATATTTTGAAGGGACAATATAATTTACAAAAAATTATTACCGCTGCTCCTCTTATTATCATATGGCAAATTTGTAAATGTAAAACGTACATTTATTGATCTTAATTTTCAATTATATTTAAATTTTTATATTTTGGCAGTGGCTATTTTGCCGGCGAAGCATTAATTATGATTTGATTATAATATTTTTTTTTATTAAAAGTGAGCTATAAATAGCATAATTCAATAGCAATTGCTATTTCTCCGGCGCCGGCAATATTGTGAATTTGTTATTTTGCCAGTTTTTTGTAAAGTTTATATATTTTATAGTATATCTGATATATCACATTGACCCTGGGACTATTGGTATAACAGTACCAGATTGACGGTCCTAAATGTATATAAGAATAGCTGCTGTTTATTTTATTAAAAGTATTTACTTATACTACCAATAAATAAATATATTTTGTTATTATAATTGATAAGGTTGTTTTTTTTTTAAATTATGTTAAATATCATTATGCAAATTTTATCAATGTCAATTTTTGTAGAGGCTTACATGAAGAACTACCCGTCAGCAAGAGCATCAGATGTCCAGGAATTGATTGGGGAAACCAGGCGGAACACGCTATAAGGTAAGAATGCCCTCATTTACCCCATATAGTGCGACCTTCAATTTGGGATTATTAAACAAAATTATTATTGTTTGTATTCTATGTTGAAAATTACAGTTGGTTATTTTTGAATTCAGTACGAAATTGTTATTATAAATATGTATTTGTAACTAGTATTGTGAAGATCAAGATGCTCTTTTTAAACAATAAAGGGTAACATTAAACTGAATATATAATTATGTGGTTTATGTGTTCTTCAAAGAGATTTGGGAAGCCAATCCTACACACAGCTACATCTAGTATTTATTTGCAATAATGTTACTAGACCTATAGAATAATTACAATTTCAGTTTTTGTACAAATAAGTGTTTTATTGTCATTGCAGGAACCAATTGCTAAGAGGGTACAAGAAGCAGTGCCGGACATGCCAGGGACCCAGAAGCAACGTTCAGTAGTTTAGAATAAACAAAGTTAACAATCAATTCTTCACTTTTTGATATACTTGTACATGCATCTTTTATTTTCTATTTTTATTTTTTTATAAAACTTTCATGGGTGGGTGTTTAGCTAGTCAGATACATATTCAGAACATGAACATGCTAAATGAGAAATTGTTACTTATCAAAGGCGGGTTTAGGGGGACAGGGGGAACATCCTATTTATAGAGTAACATATATGACAAATGCATATAATTTTTACAAGCAGGAACTACCAAGAACTGCATAAAAACAGACAGTCAGCTATGGATGGCCCCAAAACACAATACAATTCCTTTCTGTAATATCCAAATTACTGAAACAGTAATCCCATTAAAGCTACACAAAAAAATTGTTTTGCTTATAATATAATAAAAATTCGTAAGGGTTCCGCAGAACCCAGTGTCTCGCCTACTTTTTCTGTTAATCGCAGGCTCAACAAAAATGAGGAAGTAAATCAATAAAAATATTCCTTTTGATACTATCTTTTGATTGTAAGAAGCTTCTGTCCAAGTTTGGTAAAAATCCAGGATAGTTTATGAATCTAATAAATGTTTAAAATCTTTAACTGCAGACTGAATGTAATGTTAACTGGAAGAAAACAAAATTTCCTTCTAGATACTAGCATTTGATTATAAACAAGCTTCTGTCCAAGTTTGGTACAAATCCAAAATAGTATAAGAAAGTTATTAAAATTTTAAAAACTTTAACCACAGAGTGAATGTGTTGTTTCCTGGCAGAAAATCTAAGTCCATTTAAAAGTAAAATACGGAAAAAATGGATTTATTTTTTTACAAAATTTCCTTCTAGATACTAGCTTTTGATCATAAACAAGCTTCTGTCCAAGATTGGTACAAATCCAAAATAGTATAAGAAAGTTATTAAAATTTTAAAAACTTTAACCACAGAGTGAATGTGTTGTTTCCTGACAGAAAATCTAAGTCCATTTAAAAGTAAAATAAGGAAAAAATGGATTTTTTTTTTACAAAGTTTACTTCTGGATACTATCTTATGATCATAAACAAGCTTCTGTCCAAGTTTGGTAGAAACCCAGGATAGTTTAAGAAAGTTATTAAAATTTTAAAAACTTTAACCACAGAGTGAATGTGTTGTTTCCTGACAGAAAAACTAAGTCCATTTATAAGTAAAATACGGAAAAAATGGAATTTTATTTTTACAAAATTTACTTCTGGATACTATCTTAAGATCATAAACAAGCTTCTGTCCAAGTTTGGTAGAAATTCAGGATAGTTTAAGAAAGTTATTAAAATTTCAAAAACTTTAACCACAGAGTGAATATTTGTGGACGCCTCCGACGACAACGATGACTGAATGTAGGATCGCTATGTCTCGCTTTTTCGACTAAAGTTGAAGGCTCGACAAAAACAGATGATAATGCCGGATATACAAATTCCTTTTGAGAATAGACGTATTTACACTTGTATGCAAATTTGTCCGCCATTACATAAAATCACACAGGTTCCCGTAAACTTTGACATCATAATTCAAAACATTTGACGTCACAATTAAAAAGTGATTGTTGCCTGACGTCAAAAGGTGATTCGGAGTAGATCTAAGGTCATTCGGAGGCAAAATATAGCTAAATACCAAAAGTGTAAATACATTTATTGACACCAACATGTATCATCCTGCAGAGGTCACCTCATGGTCACAAACACAGTTGATACTATGTATGTATATAGATGATCATTTTTGGGCCAATTATATATTATAATATAATCAAAGAGCTGAAAGCTCTAAGTCAAAATGACGCCATTGTCTCTCATATTGGGATATTTTTTATGCAAGTCTTGATTTTTACTTAATTTACCTACTGAATCTTAGGCGACTTTTCAGTTTATGGTAGGTAGGGTGACTGATAGAATAGATATGAATTGTTTCCACAATCTATAGCGTTTTTATTTGTTTGTCAAGATATATTTATATGTGTGTGAAGTGAAAATAACTACTAGTTCAGTAGTTGTTCTGCTGTACAAAGAAATAGCTCAAGACTACCTGAACAATCTACAATATTCAAAGTAATATGTGAATCTGTTTCCCTTATTTGTAGAATTATTCAACAAAATGATTATGAAGAGCCTGTAGTAAGAAAGCTCCAGATCTTATACCCAACATAGTCCTTATTCAAGAGATAAGTTACAGGTGACCTAGTGACATAATCACATTGTTATTTCAGTTACCTAAACATGATCAATTTCTGTAGGTTTAGACAATAGTATTGTTATACTAGTTTCACAATTACAAACAAAGTGACACCATTTATACAACTTAATTTCATTGTGAAGAGCCTGTAGTAAGCAAGCTTACACTGAAATCTTAAAATGACAACATAAATTATTGCAAAATTATTTTTTTTCAAATGATTTAATGTTTAGTACCTTAGTCATTTATTTCAAATAATTGACCCGTAATAAAATAAGGAAATGGGGTGTGATTGCCAATGAGATAACAGTCTGATGTACTATCTACCAGAGTCCAAATAATGTGGCTGTTGGCAGTTATAAGTCACTTTCAGGCCTCAACAATGTACCAAACCGGTTTATTGTTTTCAGGTACCACAGGATAAAGAGGAGTTGTGGCCAGGTGCTGCCAGGATTTAAAACTATTAGAATTACACAGTTTTGTCTGCATTCAGAGAAAATTTCATGGTGTAAACACAGCCATTGTTGTTGGTGTATATTAGAAGAACCTTAAAGGTGGATTATCAGATTATTGGTCACAGGAATATTAAAGTGATTGTTGACTTTTCAAATATAAAAATTTGCACAAAGAAGGAAATATATCTGATTCCTTGTGAAAATTAAAATATAGAACATTGTATTTTAATTGATTTGGTAATTTAATTTCAAGAATGACAACATGTAAAATCTGTTACCACAAGTGTAAAATTTGTCCATTAGCTACTGTTTATTATGTTTATGGTTGAACTGTATCTTTGAACTTTGTCAATCAGTCATGATTTACTTCTTAAGCTGTGTAAGAACCTTCTTGTAATTGAAAATTGGTCTGCCATGATCACCATTTCTACAATATTCTAAGTTCCTAACAAATTCAAAATTTAGCACATTTGCAGTTTACAATAACCAAAGATCAGGAGAAACAACGATTTTGATTGGCTGATCACAGTTGTCTCCCTTGGGAAAAGTTTGAGGAAAGTTCGAAATTGGGAACAGTAGAATTTAACAAAATCGTGGTTTAGAGGTTATTACATGATCACAATCGTGCAATCGTGACAAGTGGTCAAAATCGAGTATTTCACGCCTGAATCGTGCAAGTTGGCAGGTATGACAGGTTAAGAAATTAAAGAATGAAAATTACAAATTTAATTCTGTTCCAGTTGTATTTCCAACAATATGATTGAAAATTGTTCGACGGGCACGAATGTTAATGACCGCCATTTTGAACACAACAAGACAAATTGAAGGGAGACAACACCATCTGTTATTTTAAAATGTACATTTGCAACGCTGGAGTTGTCTTTCTTTTACCAATGTATGAGCATACTAACATTCACTTTAACCTGTTTAAGTATGTAAAATACGGAACCGAGTTCGGAATGCGGGTTGGAAGTCTGGTCTGCGTCATTTTCTAAAAAAGTGCAAGTATATTACGTCGATATAAAGTGATATTAATGTTGTTGTAATGTCAGGAATAACGTTATAGAAACGTAATTTTACGTCACCACAACGTTGATGTATGACGTTGTGACAAGGTCAAGAAAACCATACACTTTTACGTAAATACAGCGTAATAACCTGACGTCAATGCGACGAAAAAATTACATTGTCACGACATAATTATGACATTGTCACGACGTAATTATGACGTACAGTGGAGTCCCCGGTGTTCGCGCGGCAGGTGATATTGCGCATTAGGTGATTTCCTAATATCAACACAGTAACACAAATAAAATCGTTCTAGTTATTGTTTCAACCTTCCGAAAGGGATAAAAAAGAATAAAACTGATAAGTTCAAGAGTTAATTAATAACTGCAATCCCGTGATTTACAATATATGGCCAATTTCCATTAAAAAATTTCATCATCAGATAAAATTTGTTTTATTTCAGAAGTATTTATATCAGACGGAAATTATTTTTGCTGTGCATCCTTGGCATTGCAGAGCTCCAGATAAGAATTCACAAATTGGGGTTTTTACCCATCATTTTTTTATGTAATTGGGTGATAGAGTTTTTAATTGCATTATCAATTCCGATTCACCCCTCAAGCAAATATCAAATTGGGTTTTTCACCACCAAGCTCCTTAATGTATTGGGTTTTTTCATCAACACAATATTGAATATTTAGGCATGTTATAATCAGATTATATCAACCCAAGATGTTTTTCCATCTTTAATATGTTTCTTTCTTTGTATATGTGCTAGCTGTTTTGTTTGGTTTATTCACTGACGAGCAATTGTACGTTTGATTTGTGTCCCGTTTTAAACGTTCTGCCAGTCATGCCAGTTTTGTATTTTCTCGCAACTTATATAAACTGCAGCTGGTATCACTAGTTGGACAGTAACTAATTACCTTTCTAGATCCCATATGATATCCTACAGTTTATTTGGGGTAGGTGTGGCTTAGTGTTAAGATTTTTATGTAATATATGTGAAATTTAGGTGCTGTAAGAAAGTTTTGCCAGTCCTTTCACCTATTTGCCAGATCTACTTTTTAATAAAAATAATAAGTAGTTCCCAGATTTAAGATATACCCCAAAACCTTGACCAGGTTTAAAGGGTGGTTTAATTACGGACACCACATTCAACTTCAATTTACAAATAATTCTGCAACATCAAATAAATAAATAACACTTGCCAATAAGACAGCTATCTTAAGCATACAGAACAATTAGACCAAAATAAACAAAGTGTCAAGCTGCATTGACGTAAAAAAACGGATATGTGTATTCACTCATCAACTGAAAATGAAAAAATAATATATAAACTAAAATTATACCTGAATGTTTTTGTTTAATTTAATTAACATAAATCTGGGTTAAGTTGTCCCTTATTAGAACTTTTGGTTTCCGATGCTTTCCGACTACATAACATGTCATAATTAATTTGGCCTTTCACTTTTTCCAACTGATTTCGTTCTTGAAGAAACCCCGTGTTTATCGTTCTAGCAATGTTCTCGTTAAGGTACGCAAACACGCCCGTGCGTTCGACGGACGCTTCATAAAACACTATCTGAGTCTTGTTATCATCATAACTTGTCCTCAGCTATCAAAAAGAAGCTGAAAACATGCTTCTATTCAATATTTTTACCGGACATTTATTTTCGTTTTAATTCACTGTATGTTACGATAAGTCCCGAGCAATTCGAAAAAAATAAGAAAACATGACAAACGCTAATTGGATAAACACCGAGAAGATCGAATTGTTTTCATAAACACGTGTACCTTTTGAGCAACGGAAAATTCCAACAGGAACCTATTTCAGCTACTTGATGCAGGGCTCTATTTTTAGAACGAAAGGAAATTTCCAATTATAAATATTATAAAAATAGATTTACGCGACGATTGTAATTAGATAAGGGTAAATAACGCAAACGATAGCGAATAAAAGCGTTAAGAACTCATGGTTTTGGCATATAATTGGGTTTTCCTTTGAATTAATTGGGTTATTGGACCCTGCAATGGGCAATTGCATTGGGTTTTTAATCATTTGTATTGCGTGATCACGCAAATACGCAGCTTATCTGGAGCTCTGGCATTGTGTTTGGTTCGAATTCAGCTATATTTCGTAGTGTCAAATCTTTCCTGTATTCAAAATAAGCTATTTTTGGAAAGCATGCGTGAAATCACCGGACATCGGAGGAACCCTTAGAACAGGGGTTTCCCTAAATTTTGTGTAATGTGTGTCCAAAATAATAATTTTGGACACACATTACACAAAATATTGAGGGTGAAACCATACAAACAGAAGATTTTTTGAAATAAAAGTATGTTATGAATGTGATCACACACTATTATTCAATTATTGATTTTATCAGTTGAATGAAGTGAAGTCATAAGACAAGTCTTAGGTGCGCGGATACACCGGACTGCACCGTAATATTGTTTGCTGGGTACTGGTTTGTGTGAATAATATTGACTACTCTAGGCCCGACCAGAAATATCAATTTGAGACTAATTGAATCCAGAGCGATATTCTGATGTGGCCAACAGGGCGCCCCGGCGGGTGTAACGTGTATAGATATCCAGGGGCAGGGGGTTACATAACAAGCTTACCACGCTAAATCTCAGCCTAAAATCAAATCATATCCTGAGCTATGTCTCCAAGAAAAACTTTTGATGTATTGTGTGTATTTGTGTGCGTTTAAAACTTGTTAAAATTCTAGCGATCAGCAGTTGTTCAAGTTTTTACAATAAGTTATAAAACGATCTGCTTGTCAACCTTTCCCGCCATCTAGGTAATAATCAGCCTGTATACCGACCATCAGAAACCAGATTAGAAAAGACGACAACTCGCCCCCGACATTTAATGTCATCTGATGTTTAGTGCAGTGAACCTGGAACCCTATTTTGTAATATCATGTCCCAGAGTGAACTAACAAATCTCAGATAAATTCTGACTATCATAATGGTCAACGTCAAATATTTTTCACTTAAAATCCAAAACTGAATAATCATTAATAAATTCAAAAACAAACACACGTCAAAATTACGCCTCGATTACTCGGGCCATAACAACTAAGGAATATTTTTTAAGAATGATAAACCTGGGACTATTCAGTGGCGGATCCAGGGATTCCAGGGAGTTGGAACCCCCCTTTTTTACGATCAATGCATTTGAATGGGGACATATAGTTGGAACCCCCCCCCTCCCTTTTTTATCCTGGGTTGGGAACCCCCTTTTAAAAATGGCTGGATCCGCCCCTGCTATTATACTATATTACGTCCCAGGATAAACCAAGAATTTGTATAGTATGATTATATAAATCCTTGGATAAACGATTGTATTCACCTAGATTTTATTTTTAAATTATTTATCAGCGAAAAGTTCGATGGAATAAAATTGAGAATGGAAATGGGGAATGTGTCAAAGAGACAACAATCTGACCATAGAGCAGACAACAGCCGAAGGCCACCAATGTGTCTCCAATGCAGCGAGAAACTCCCGCACCCGGAGGCGTCCTTCAGCTGGCCCCTAAACAAATATGTATACTAGTTCAGTGAAAATGGACGTCATACTAAACTCCAAATTATACACAAGAAAGTAAAATTAAAAATGATACAAGACTAACAAAGGCCAGAGGCTCCTGACTTGGGACAGGCGCAAAAATGCGGCGGGGTTAAACATGTTTATTGAGATCTCAACCCTCCCCCTATACCTCTAGCCAATGTAGAAAAAACAAACGTACAACAGTACGCACAGTAAAACTCAGTTTAAGAGAAGTCCGAGTCCGATGTCAGACAATTAAGATACTTTTGCATCTAACTCTGTAACTAGGTCATTTTTATGATACAAAGTTGGGTTTACTAGGTTTAATGTTATAATGAGGAATACGAACGTAAAGGTAGAGAAGTCAAATGTTTGGGATTATTTTCACTCTATACCAAGATTATACACATTGTACATTTTCTCTCTTTATTTTTTTATTGTCAAATATTTCGTGAGACAGTTTCCTCACTGCGCATGCATGCCTGGAATTTTCCCAGTTGTATAAATCTATGTTACGTACACTATAGTACACTATAACAAGTCTGTTTCTTTTCTTCACCTCAAAACCACTATTAAATTTCGTTCAATTAGTTAAAATTAGTTAGTTAAAATTAACAAATTTACAGTTTTTTTTTCCGAAGTAGTTTTAAACCATGAGTTTGGTAACCATTAAAGCCTAGGATGTATCTAGCAGAGTGTTTAGCTTCTCTTGTAGAGAATAACACAAGCTTCTGGTTATAGAGTATACTGAACAAATTTCTGCTTCCTGTTACCATGAATACCATTCAAAGTGATTGCAGTCCGAAATAAATTGCTACATTTTAAAGCTAAACATATATATAAGACAAGGCAACCGTGCTAATTCTTCGTACCACAATTCCATAAAGTTTGCTATACAAAAAAAGTCTCTTAAACTTGAGATAGCGGTGCACACTACAAGAAAATGTTCTAAATTCTCGATTCCTTTTCCACTTAGTGGACAATCTGAAGTATTTTGTCCATTTGAAAATTTTGTACTGTGATATTGTAAAATGTACGTATCCAAGAACATTTTGTCATGTAAAAGAGCTGTAATTGGCAACTGACCAAGAAGATGATATGTTCCAGCATTTGATGCTCTAGTAGGAAAGTTCTGAATTTGCTTTAAAAAGTTATTGCAAAACATTTCCAGATGAAAAATGTCTTTAGAATTTAAATCAACGGTTTCAGGACCAAATAGCAGCCGTGGAACCACATATTTTGACCATAGTTTACATTAAACCCCTGGATCAAGTCCATTTAGACCATGTAAACCTGTGCCTATAAAGGCATAAGAAGTCTGTCTCACAGTTCTTAGACCATTTCCAACAATGGTCCTATAGTTGCCTCTAATTCACGAGAGTCTCTATCTATTCCTATACATGTATGTGTATAATTTTCAACACTTTTGAAAGCCTCTGTGCCAACATGAAAATTGACCATTTAATTCCACACTTTGTGGGTATGCCTAATTGTATAGCATATCTCTTTGAAATGCATGAACAGACTTGATTATGACATGTATCTATTGACATATATATGTTGTAAAATGTATAAGGTTTTTCTTTATTGCGCATGCTATGTCTTATAAATTATGAAAATTGTCTATATCGGTTTAAAGAGCTCTGCTTAGCTTATATATGTACCGACTTTAAAGAAAGCTTTTTATGTTGATTTTTTATGATTGCTGCTGAATATTGTACGTGTTCTGTTGACACCATTTTAGTATATGTTAATTCCTTTCTTCCTGATTAAGTACGAACGTAAGCGAGTACTTATCATGACGAAAGTGATTACCTTTCTGTCACAAACTTATTATATTGTAAAAAGCTCAATGCTCAAAAGACTGCTTGTTTGTTTTAATCAAGAATTAGTTTCATGGTCACTATAATGTTTAGAATATATAAATACATGACTTCCTTTTAGGTCATTTCATTTCTGGATTAGTCTTAGTGATGTAAGGAATTTCTTATTATGTTCATACAGATATCACCACTTTTTACAGAAAAAGTCTTCTACGCACAAACGTAAGTATGTCGACTAGCTTGCTGCTTGTTATAGTACAAAATTAAGAAACATCATATCCAACAATTTCATTGGTCGAGAGCACTTTTTCTAAATCATCTTTATCTTTATCATCTGATGACGTTGTTACAACATTTTTTTCTTATTTGCAATGAAGTTAAAAAAAAAAAAACTTTACCTCCGCATGAGAACACAACATAGATGTAAAGAGGTGGCCTGTACGTGTTTGTAATTTATAGCAAAGATATTGTTGTAAGACCAAGGTGTATATTTCTTTGTCAGCATGTTCATATCACTTTGGTCCATTTCATCAAAACGCCTGATCACATGCATTCTTTTGCAAGGTAACTATATTAACTGATGACGATCTTGCAGCATACTCATTTAACCCCACGTAAGGCATGAGACACAGTACCACCGCTTAGACCACAAGGTTCCATTATTGGGCCTCTTTTATTTTTATATTTGATTTCACGATTTACCTCTTAAATAGAAAAATCAACAATAGATTTGTGTGCAAATGATTCAACTTTGAGTAGTAAGTGTAATGATTTAGATGCAAACTTACAAAAGGATATTAATATCAACGATAATTGGTATACTTGTGTGAAGTTCAATACCATAAAATGTAAATATATATAATATTACTAGCATTGTATATAGACGGAGTGCTACTTAAGGGTTAATTTGTATGTCTATATTTCAGATGAAAGATTAGACACTGTAAATTGTGAAAAAAATTCTTGGTTTATGTATATGGACAATTATTAAAATTGGTTGAACAAATAAATAAGATGTCTTATGTCATATCAAATATCATATTACTAAAGACAAGACAGTTTTTAGCTTTTGCACTTATTTCAATCCATATGTTTTTAGAATTGTTTGATTATTGTTGTAATATATGGGGTATTTGAAAGTGGATAATCTTCATGAATTACTAAAGAATTAAAGAAATCTGCAAGATCAATAGTAGAAGTGTATGACATTGCATCATCTACTTTTCTGTTTAACAGTTTAAAGTTATTGACTTCAATATCATTTGGTTTCTGGTGGAGAGTTGTCTCATTGCAATCATACCATCTTCTTATTTTTACATCGCGATGACCGTGAGGGCATTCCGATATATTGTTGCCACAGATATTTCTACTTACGTAACTTTCGTGTTTGACTGGTAACCGATCTATAAATACTCATAAAAATATTAGAACATAAATTAATAATATGAATTTTTTTTGTCGTTAGAAATATATATATAAGTAAAAAATCACTAATATCTATGCACACGTACAGAAAAATTGTGTTAACGCATGCGGAAGAATATCTCAAGAACGTTTTGCGGGAAAATATGAATGCCTGCTCAAATCCAATCTATTAGAAAAATCGAATTATTACAGAAGAGTGTCCACCATGCACTTGCACTGCACTATTATTAGAATAGTAGAATAGAATGATATACAAATGGATGAAAATTATATATACATGTAACTGTTATATTCAAATATTGATATAATAATACTGCAATATTATAGTTATTACGGTGATGTTGTGTAAGTGTCCGACGATAGATAATTCTTAAACTTCTGTATATTAGACTTCTGGTTCAATGTACTTTTAAATTTCAATATAAAAACTGGGGGTCATGGACCTAATTTTTTCGTTAAAACCCTTATGAAAAGAGAGACTTTGCTGCAACCTTGCGGTAAGGTTGCAGCAAACTTGCGGCAATCTTTTTAGTTCACCAGAAGACCTGAAAGTTGTTCACCTGTGTTCGCTGCTAGCAGCGACCTTTCGGCAAAGTTTGCCGCAAACTCTTAACTTTCTTAAAACTGAAGGAACTTTGTAAACAAACTTTAAGCAGTCATAAAGTTTGCTGGAATTTCGCCGCAAACTTTATAGCATACTGAGCATGCTCCCTGCACTAAAATCAGACTTTACTGCTTCTTTAAATTTGAAATAGGAGGGAAGTTTTAATGTTGGTGTTTTCGTGTAAAAAGTAAATGGATGTTATATATATGATGATGTCTGAGTTATATATGATTCAATTAGTTCCTGGAACAGGCCATGCATCATTGATCATCTCTTTGTAAGTCATTTTAGACATTTTTTGCATGTTAATTTGTTATTATTGGTACAAAATTTATGTCAAAGAACCCCCATTTTGAAAATAACAATTGTATTACACCCTTACTGCCCTTAGAGAAATATCATTACAGTCAATGACAGAT